CTCGGAAAGGAAAGCAAGCTTGTACTGCCTGTCCTCTAGAACGTCACTGCCAAGGGCAGGTGCACCCCGGACGGACGGAGGATGGGCAGGGTCAGAGACCAGAGCGGTAGCGTTGTCAAGGCAGCGGGTAGAGGCGAAGTCAGCGACAGCAGCGACAAGCGCGTCAAGGCGCGAGACAGGAACAGATGGGTCGGTAACAAGAGAGGCAAGAACCCGAGGGACAAGGGGACGAACGGCATGGAGGTAGTCAGACAGCGGAGGTGGTGCAACAGCAAGCGATGAGGGAGGAGGCGAGGGGAGGAGGGGAGGACGAGAAGAGCGGGAACGGAGCAAAATGGGGTGGGAGCGCAGGACAGGAGAGACGGGACGAGCACGTAAGGGATGGCGGGACCAAACGTGGGACGGAGGTGTAGGGTCGGGCGACAGCGGAGGGGACACAAAAGGGGAACGAGGAGGGAGACGGGTTGGAGACGGGTCCGGCTGTGGGAACACAGGGCCGTAGACAGGAAGGTTAGATGGTGGTGGGGGAGACACCGGCGAGCGGTTAGGGGAGGGAAGGCCGAGCTGGCGAAGAGCGGAGACCGGTGGCGACGGCTGCGGCGGCTGCTGCGGCGGCTGGTGCTCGACCCTCGAACCGGCTGGTGCACGACGACCACTGGGAGAACACTCAACAGCAGCACCCCCATAACCAACACCCCCAGAGCGAGAACCCCCTCCAGCCCCAGCGGCACCCCCAGGCCCGCCGAGACAGACCACGCCAGGAGCCGCAGGACGAACACCCTCCTCAACACCAGCACCCCCAGAGGCCCAGAGCGGCAGCGGCGGCGGCGGCGGCGGTGGTTGCGTCGGCGGTGGCGGCGGCTGCGACTGCGGAGGCGGAGACATCGGGGAAGGGGGACGCGGCAAGGACGGAGGGACCACCAGAGTCAGCAGACTCCTCAACGGGGACAACCGACGGGAGGGGAGTGACATGGGAGACACCAGACGGGGCAGGACGATGCGGGAGGGGAGGAGGGGCTACCGGGGTAGAGGGAGCAAGGAACAAGGGGGGGGGAACCGGGAGACCGCGGTGAGGGAAGCGATGGTAGAAGGAGACAAACTCGTCAAATGTGACGTCACGAGAGTGCAGGAAGCGGTGAGACTGCGGGTGGTAGAAGAGCCAGTCAGACGAGTCTAGGGGGAAACCGAGGAAGACACAGGGGACAGTGCGGGCAGTGAGCTTGTCCGTGCCAAACGTGAGCAAGGCAGCCCCAGACGTGGAACGCCGACTCGTCACCAGGGGACCTGGTCCAAAGGAGGGTCGGCGAAACCTGCGGCCGCTGGGAGCGTGGCCACAAGTTAAGCTGGTGAGCAGCGTAGCAGACAGCGAACGGCCACAAAAAATGGGGCGCATCGGCATGAATCATGGAGGTACGAGCAACCTCCATGACCAAGCCGATGCGGCGCTCAGCAACCCCATTTTGCTGTGGCGAGTCCAGCAAGGTGTACGACTGGGTGATACCCTCCGCACGACAGAAATGTCCAAGCCGACCAGAGGCGAACTCGCCGCCACGGTCAGAGTGGAGACACAACACGGGGAGACCGCGGTGGAGACGCGCAGCCACAACCCACGGGAGAAGAACGTCGGGCACGTCGGCCTTCCGCTCCAGGGGAAACACTGTGGTGTAGCGCGTGTAGTCGTCGTCGAGCACAAGGAAGTAGCGCTCACCGTGCGGTCCGGGGACGGGGGCAGGGCCCCAAACGTCCAGGTGCAGGGTCTGAAGGGGGGGCAGTAGCAGGGCGCAGCGAGGAGGAGTGAGGAGCACGGCGGAGCCGACCCTCGACGCAAGGCGTGCACGGTGGCGAAGTTGAGGGAGGAAGGGCAGGGAGCGACGCGGGGAGACCTAAGACAAGACCGTGCTGGGACATGTGACGTAGGCGCAGGAGAGCAGGGTAACCTAAGCGGTGGTGCCACAGAAGAGATGGGTGTGTGAGGGACCGACACGAGCAAGCTGCAGCGACCTGGGAGGACGCACCAGCCGGGGGGGAAGCGGTGTCGAGGGTAAACAGACCGGACATCGGGTCCCGGGGGAATGTCGCAAGGGGGGAACCTGAGACTGCCTCGGTATAGACAGCGAACCGCTCGTGCCCAGGGAATGTAGTGGTGACGCCGAGGTCCTGAAGACGGCTGACGCCAACCAGGTTCCTGGAGAACGAGGGAACGTGGAGGCCTGTAAGAGAGCCCGAGGGAACGGCTGGACAGGGAAGGGAAGTGGAGCTGCGAGCGACGACAGGACCCGCGGAGGGGTCAGCGAGAGTGACAACAGCAGGCGCAGCAAGCGGCGTGAGCGTGGAACGGTCGCGGAAGAAATAGGTAGAAGCACCGGAGTCGAGAGTGAAGGACAACGAGGCAGTAGCGGAGGCCGGGAACGAAGCCGGTGCAGAAACTAGGCTAGGCAAACTAGGCAGTCCTACGCCTGACGCAGCAGGGGAGGCTAAGCTACACAAAGGTGCTACGCCTAAACTAGAGTACACAGGGCAATAAGATCCAGCAACACTAGAAGCGTCAGCATACAAGGCATGCAAAGCAACACCTATCTGATCCATATCTAAATCAAATATCGGCACGCTCTGGCGAAGCAGGCTGTGCCAGTCGGGGAGGTCCGGGGCCGGGCCAAAGGGACGACGAAAGAGATCGTCGAGGCGGTGGAAACAGCGGGCGGTCGGGTGCGGGCGGTGGCACAGAGTGCCGCGGAGAGGCCCGGTCTGAAGCTGGTACTGGCATGTCACACCAACGGAGCTGCCAGTAGACGCCAAGCTGTGCGGGCCGCCACCACGGCCACCACCTACGGAGGTGCCGGGCCAACCCGGGGGGAGACGAGCCCACGGATGGGGCTGGGACAGTTGCTGCGACGACTGCGACTGCTGCGACGGCTGCTGCGGCTGCTCCTGCTGCTGGGGCGACGGCTGCTACTCCTGACTAGCTGAGGCAGTCTCCTCAGTAGAACCACTGTCCCCGGTACCACCACTACTACCGCCAGCTCCACCACCACGCCCTCCCTGGCGGCCACGACCGGCGCGGCGCGAGCGCTGCTGTGGGTGTACCGCAGCTGCAGTCTCGGTCAGAGGGGTCGTAGTGGCGACCGCAGCCGGAACGTCAGTAAACGTGCTCTGGGAGGGGGCACAGCCGTGAAAGATGGAGACTGCCGGTGCACCGCTCGACTGAGCGATAGTGCGCTGGCGAGTCTCGATCTCGGTCAGGGCGGTGACAAAGTCTGGCAGGGTGAGATCACCCGGGTGCTGGCTAAGAATGTGGTCGCGTGCACTAGCAAGGCGGTCCGGCAGGCGCATAGCGATAAAGTAGAGGGTCATGGAGAAGGGGGGAGGGAGCGCAGTGAGCTGGGCAGCAGTGCTAGCAGTGCGGTAGCGAGACTCTAGGGCGCGAAGGTGAGTGGCAAGGTCAGCAACATTAGGGAAGGAAGCAAGGTCTGGGAAAAGCATAGGGAAGAGGAGGCGGCCTGCAGTAGCGGAGGCAGGCGTGGAATAGCGAGCAACAACAGCTTCTAAGTAAGCCTTGGCTGCATCAACTGTAGCAAAACGCGAACGCTCAGACACAGGGAGGGCGTGATTGATAGCGACCTGAGCAACTGCATCGCGAGAGTCCCAGACGGCACAGGCAAGTGCAGCAGCAGAGAAAGTCTCACGCTCAGCAGAGGTGGGGTCAGCAGGGAGGGGAGCAGGCGCAGGGGGGCGGGGGAGCAAGCCATCAGCATGGAGAACCAAGGAGTGCCCATCCTGGCGCTGACCTGTGAGTTGACGGCGGAGATCGGACAGCCAGGCGACGAAGTCAACCGTGTGGCCCTCAGCGTCCAAGCGGAGGACGAGGTCAGCCATCGTGCAGGGTCAGCGACACAGGGACACAGCGGCACAGCTCCACAGGACATAGAGGCACAGCTCCACAGAACACAGCGGCATAGGGACACAGCAGCACAACTCCAGGGGGACGTCAGCAGGACGCTCCGGCGCTGGCAAGCAGAAGACACGAGGCCGGAGACCCGAGGAACCGTGCCGAGCAGAAGACACGGAGCCGCAGGAGCCGGGCTGGCACTGGGAAGGGCGGGGGCAGCAGGCCGGGCGGGCGCGAGAAGGGGCCGGGCGGGCGCTAGGAGGGGCCGGGCAGGCGCTAGCAGAGGCCGGGCGAGCGCTGTGAAGGGGCCGGGCGGGCGGTAGACGTGGCCGGGCGGGTGTTAGGAGGGGCCGGCTAGGAGCGGGCGCAAACGGCCAGGGGGGGGGGGGGGCTAGGAGCGGGCGCGACGGCTAGGGCGATGGCTAGGTGCGGGCGCGAACAGCCAGGGGGCCAGCTAGGAGCAGGCGCGACGGCCAAGGTGTCGGCTAGGAGCGGGCGCGAACGGCCAGGGGGCCGGCTAGGAGCTGGCGCGACGGCCAGGGGGCCGGTTAGGAGCGAGCGCGAACGGCCAGGGGGCCGGCTAGGAGCGGGCGCGACGGCCAGGGGGGGGGGCGGCTAGAGGCGGACGCGACGGCTAGGGGGCCAGCTAAGGGCGGGCGTGACGGCCAAGGGGCCGGCTAGGGGCGGACGCGACCGCCAGGGGGCCGGCTAGGGGCGAACGCGACGGCCAGGGGGCCGGCTAGGGTCGGGCGCGACGGCCAGGTGGCCGGCTAGGGGCACGCGCGACGGCCAGGGGGCCGGCTAGGGGCGGGCGCGACGGCCAGGGGGCCGGCTAGGGGCGAACGCGACGGCCAGGGGGCCAGCTAGGGGCGGGCGCGACGGCCAGGGGGCCGGCTAGGGGCGGACGCGACGGCCAGGGGGGGCCAGCTAGGGGCGGGCGCGACGGCGGCTAGGGACGGGTCACGAGGGTGGCTAGGGCCTAGGGCGGAAGCATGGGCGGGCGAGAGGAACCTAACCTACTCATGATACCATGTTAGAAAGAGAGAATGATTGACTAGTGTGAGAAACCTAGAACATGTACCTGTTGGGGTTGTACTCACTAGAAGCACACACCTAGGCTAGCCTATAACTTCTACATACAGCAAATGTATAAGTTGACACAAAAAACTGTTCTTCCGACCACACGATGTGTAATTCTATTGAGGGATGCCGACTCTTCCGAGCTCGGCGGGTAACTGACTGCAATGGCCGAGTATGCACGTAAAAAGACAACCCACTATGAGAATTTATATGGGATGTCATAAGCCACACAAGGGCACATTAGTTAGGCATTTATAAATGTATGCCTCAAATCAAAACTGGTACCTTGGTTGAATGGATACACAGGCAGCCAGCCAGACACCCAAGGCGCAGAGTGAATGAGAGGACCTTTGGGTTTGCAGCGAACCATACCCCCATGTGTAGGACCTTCAGCCACGTTGCCTAGCTGCCAGGCTGAAAAGCCAGGTTCCTGCTTCGGCGCTATGAGCAGCAGCTGAAAAGGCTGCAGCGACAATACTAGGTTACAGGTAGCAGATGGGTCTTGAAGTTAGCAGCAGTTAGTCGAGCGAGGGTGCTGTCCGTTGTGGCGCTCGAGAAGAAACACGGTTGTTGATAGGTGGGAGGGAGGAGCAGGAGGCTGTGCTGCTTGGAAATCCAAGTCAGGAGCGGAGTTAGATACAAGAGTTAGACGCGACGCCGCAACTCGAGGCGACTCGTGTTGGAAGTCCCATCCCATGTAGCACCATGGTCGATGACGCCATGGTGCCGCATCAAAGGTCAGCCTCATCCCCATAGTCCCCATCCCCACCCTCCCCTAGTCCCCCGCCCGCATGCCTCATGGTCGACGCCATGGTCGACGCGACGCGCGCCGCTCTGGCCGCAGCGAGGGGCGTGGCCTGCGGTGTGGGGATCACGGACTGCGGGTTGAATATCCGCCAGGGCGCGCACGTGTTGCTGGCGAGCGCCATCCACATGTCGAAGCGTGCCTCCCACGAGTACGGGCTAGATGTGTGCAGCTCCACTGCTACTTGGTTGGCTCCCGTGCGCAGCAGCGAGGGGAAGGCGGCGAGGGAGACGGAGAAGGTGGACCAGGGGGCGTTGGGACTCGCGTCCATTGACGCCTGGATGGGGGAAGGGGGAGACGGTGGATGGAGGGGATCGGGGGCAGCACGGGGGGTGGGTGGGGGGGAGGAGAGGGAGGGAGGGGGTGAGCAGCATGAGAGAGAGAAGAGGGAGGGACAAACATGATGATGATGAACATGATGTCATACGAACATGATGATGATGACTATATATTCTTTAAACAGAGATCAAACATCATACTGCCAGGAAAAGCTGGGGAAGGAACCGGCAAGAACGCGGTTCGCGAGGAGAGGAGAGAAGCACAGCACAGGACTTACAGGAGTGGTGGGCAGGATGCGGCCCTGTGGCATGTTGGAGCGCAGCACCTCGTTGCCGTTGACGTACACCACGAAGCCGTCGCTGGCCACGACGCCCAGCAGCAGGCGCTGGTAGCACAGCAGCGACGTGCCCTTCAGCTTGAACTGCCGGCGGAAGTAGAACGCCAGGCACGACTGGGACGAGCAGGGCGGGAGGAGGGGAGAGAGAGGGAAGGGCACACAGCAAGAGGAGAGAGGGGCACACGGACAAGGGGAAATGCGTACAGGAAAAGAGGTGGAGAGGGTGTGGAGTGGGTGGCAGGCGCTGGGTGGGCTCGGTGAGGATGGAGGGAGACTGTAGAGGCTGGGGTGAGTGTACAGATTACAAGTTGCTCCCAGCCCTGGACTCACAGCTTGCGGGCTGGCGAGCGTGGTGAGTTCGCCCTGCCCACCGCGGCCAAAGGGTCCCACGCCGCGCTTCCAGGAGGCGTCGGAGGCGGCGAGCGGCTTGAGCGAGAGGAAGGAGGCGGGGCGCGTACCGATGTCGGAGAAGCGCCACACGGCCGATGAGGAGAACACACCGCATTGCCTGCGCAGTGAATGAGGGGAGTGGGGGGTGGGGGATGTGGAGAGAAGGGATACAGAGGGTGAGGGGGGAGGTGGACGAGAGGGGACGGAGAGGGGGGGATGTGATATGTGGGGAAGGGAAGATGGTAAACTTGCCCCTGACTCTCCCTCTCTCTAACACATGCGCAGGTGACCATCGTTCCCTCTCCCTCCCTCCTTGCCTGTCTCCTCTTGCCTCTGCACGATTCCACTCGCGTGAGCGTGCCCCCTTCTTCCCACCACGCCTCTATGGGCGCATGCCTGCCTGTGCGCACTGGCACTCACGTGAGCGTGCAGGAGATGGAGCCACGGACAGCGGAGAGCGAGACAACGACGGAGGAGGAGGAGCCCAGGGTGACCTGCAGGTTCACGCTGCGCTGCGCATCGCACTTGTACGCCAGCTGCGTCATGTTGCGGAACGACGCCTGCACGCCGCCACACGCCCTGACGGTGGATGATGCAGAGACGGCACGGGAGGGAGGGGCGAGGGATGGAGCGAGGGAGGGAAGGAAGGAGGGAAAAACGTAGGGAGAGAGGGAGGGAGGACAGGGGAAGGGATCAAAAGAAAAGGTTCTAGTTAGGATGTGCTTTTGAGCGTTGAAAGTCGCACTGAAAGCACTGCCCGACCACCCCTTCCACTCCACACTCCCCCACCAACACTCAAAAGAACAGGTTCGGCGCCCCCCACACACCCACCCCTCCCCTCCCTCCCCCTCCCCCTTCCCCTCCATCACTCACTGCCAGAACAGGTTCGGTGCCGACGCCACCTGCCACAACATCCGGGGCGCAGGTGGCGCGAGCTGTAGCACCACACTGGACGAGCAGCTGAGGCCCTGGTCCGTGTACGCCAGGGACACGGGCCCCGAGGGGAGCGCGGTGAAGGTGACGAGGTACGAGGTGTTGGCGGGCAGGTTCACGTAGCGCGCGCCGTCAGGGTTGATCACAGCGCCGTCTGCTATACGCGTGAGGAGGAAGGGCGCGCCCATGATGCCCACGCTGCGGTAGCAGGAGCTGGGGCACGCCATGCCGTTCCACTGTGGGCGCTGGGGGGTGGGGAGGAGAGAGGTAGAGAGGGGAGGGAGGGGAATTCGGTACTAGCGCCCATGGTGCCCACGCTGCGGTAGCAGGAGCTGGGTCACGCCATGCCATTCCACCGGGGGCGCTGGGGGGGAGAAAGCGGAAGGGGAGGTGGAGAGGGGAAGGAGGGAACTGGGTGCCATGAAAGGAAGGGCGCGCCCATGGTGCCTACACTGCAGTAGCAGGAGCTGGGGCACGCCATGCCGTTCCACTGGGGGCGCTGGGGGGGTGGGATGGGAAGGAGAGGGGAGAGGTGGAGAGGGGAAGGAGGGGAAATGGGTGGTATGAGAGGAAGGGCGCGGCCTGGTGTGGATGATGCTGGTGTAGGAGGTGAGTCATGCAATGCCGCTCCAGAGGGGGCGCTGGGGCGATGGGCAGGAGAGGGGAATGGAAGGAGAGCTGGGTTTGGACGAACCTGGCCTGATGATTCATATAGCACATGCTCACACTACCAGGACGGGCACCACTGGCAGCACTGGCAGCACTGGCAGCACACCTTGGGTTCAAGGAAAGCACATGCCAACATGGTGCAAACAGCAAACACTGCCACCCTCACAGCACGCAGCCCACAGCCCACAGCCCACAGCCCACAGCCCACAGCACACTCCCCCACCCCATTCGTACCGGAGAGCAGCCAGCAGTGGACGACGGCTCCAATCCGGTGGTGTTCGCCACAGCATACCCGCCCCTGCCGCCCAGCACCGTCCCATCCTCATCCTTCCACGTCAGAAACCTGGTCAGCGGGCCGGCATCCCCACCTCCTGTCTCAAACCCCAGCTGCCCCAACTGCCGGGGCACCATCCACAGAAACGGCGAGCGGTCCACCATCCTGATCCCTGCACTGCTATGCGCCGTGGTCCACATGTCGGTCCCGTGCCCGTTCGCAGTCACCGCGGCCGACGTCCGGCATTTGTTATAAAATTTGCCGAAGGTGCAGTTGACGATCTTGTGCGGCATGCCCTTGCGGCCGTGGCCCGGGTACTCGTCCTGGTCGATGAGGATGCCGAACTGCGTCCAGTAGCGCGACACCGTGGGCGAGTTGGAGCGCGCCACGTCGGGGGACGAGGACATGGGCAGGTCGCACGAGCCGGTCTTTTCCACGCGGGATTTGCACGCCGTGTACTCTGTGTGCGTGTTGTCGCACCCCAAGGGGTTGCCCGTGTTGTCAGTCTCGCCCAGAATGACCGAGTTGGAGATCTGGGAGAGATAAAGGGGGGGAGAGGGAGGGGCGAGGGAGGGAGGAGGGAGGGGAGAGGGAGGGGAGAGGGAGGGGAGAGGGAGGGGAGAGGGAGGGGAGAGGGAGGGGAGAGGGAGGGGAGAGGGAGGGGAGAGGGAGGGGAGAGGGAGGGGAGAGGGAGGGGAGAGGGAGGGAGCAGGGGGTAAGGGGGGAGAGAGGCATGGGGTGTGGGTGAGAGGAAGTGAAGCTGCTGACTCCACCTGTTGACCAGACAAAATGAGCTGCTCCTATTCTTCCCTTTTCAACAGCCCTTTCACAGCCCTAAGAGACTCAACTTCAACTCCCCCGCAACTCCCCTCTGCCAGCCCAGCCCAGCCCAGCCCAGCCCGTCTGCCCGATTGCCCGCCGCCCCGTTTGGACGCCAGTCCAGTCCCCCCACCCCATCCCCTCCCCTTCCCGCCAGTCTCACGGTGATGGCCTGGTCGCGGTTGAGCTCGATGCCCACAATGGCGTTGTCCGCCACCTGCGCCTCCGTGATGGTCAGCGAGTCCGTCTCGTGGATGAACATGCTGGGGAAAGGCAGGGGGAGACGGGGGGGGGGGAGGGGGGAGGGGGAGGTTGTCTTTGGGGGAAGGCTTTTGAGTCGACTCAAAAGTCATCTCTGCGTTGGCCAGCGAATCCGCCTCGTGGATGAACATGCTGGTAGGGTGGAGATGCGGGGGGGAAGCGGGAGGGGGGGAAGGGGAGGGGGGAAAGAGGATTAGGAAACTGAGGGATAGAGGAAGCAGGGTGCAGACCTAAGAGGGCAGAAGACGCAGATTGAGCAGGCGTGAGCGCAGCGAGAGTGAAGGGACTCAGCGGTGGAAGGAGCGGAGCGAGGAGAGAGAGCGGGAAGAATGGCACAAAGAGGGCGTGACAAAAGGTGGTGGGGGAGAGAAGAGGAGAGGAGAGGAGAGGAGAGGAGAGGAGAGGAGAAGGGAGAGGGTGTTCAGAGCCTCACCCTATGAACTGGTTCTTGTACGCCCGGAAGCCCTTGAATGTGATGTTGGCTGCAGGCTGCCCCGGGGACGGGCAGGGAGAAAAAAGAGTCAGAATTAGAAAAAGGCGGAGAGCGCAACCACACGCAGAAGGCAATAGGCAATCTGCTCCCTTTCTTTCGCCCGCACACTACACTGCAGACTTAGCAAAACTACAAGTGGCAACAAGCGAAGCATGCACTCCCACCCTAGACTGCACCCCAATTCCCTTGAACCACCCCCCTCTCTCCCATCTACCCCCTCCCCCTTCCCCCCTTCCCCCCATTCCCCCCTCCTCCCCTCCTCCCCACACCCCTTTCTCCCTCCGCTCCTCCGCCCATACCGCGTTTATCCCCGAGTACTCCTGCTGAGTCGACACCCCCCCGTTGACCCGCGGACGGTACCCCGACGGGTACGTGCGCAGCCCCGCGCGGCCGTTGGAGTGCGCCGCGTTGCCGACGAACAAGCCCAGGGGCGTCAGCTTCGGCGCCATGGCGGCCGCGCGCGCGTACAGCGCGGACGGGCCCTTCACGTCCGCCTCGAGCTGGAACCAGAACCCCGAGTCCGACGACCCCGCCGCGACATTCCCGATGAACGTGTTCGCGGGGTTGGTGATCCAGAACGTGGACGGCGAATTATCGCTTTGAATAGCTGGTTTCGCGTCGAGCGGCGTCAGCATGCGCTGCGGGGGTTCCTGGAGAAACCCTAGGTTTTTGTAGAATACGTTGCCGGTTTCGACGCCGTCTTCGAGCAGGAAGCAGTGGCCCTTGGTGTTGATCCCCAGGTTCCACTCCAGCCGTAGATTCCACGTGCCGTGCACCACGTAGCACCGTTGATTGCTGTCGTGCACGCTGCAGCTGCTGACGACCGACCCTCTAACGTTCTGGCACAGGTGGAAGTGCATGGGGTAGCGGCCAAGGTTCCCCTGCTGGCCCATGTTGACGAGCTCGACCCCTTTGATCAGCTGGCGCTCGGCGGTCTGCATGACGATCAAGTGGCCGCCGATGAGCGGGTCGTCGGGGTTCTGGTGACCCTGAATCACGATCGCGCGCGACAGCAGCGCCACCTCCGCCGCCTCGTCCACCGCCAGCCCCGCCGCGCCCGCCGCCACCGCCTCCCCCCAGTGCATCCACGCCAGCGCGCCGCCCAGCCCCAGCACCGTCGTGTTGCGCGCGCCTCTCGCTACCGACGTGATTGTGAAATTCTCCGCCTGGTAACGGTCGAAATCCGTCGACGCGATCGCGATAACCCCGCCAACAGGCCACGCGCTCACGTCCCCCTTAACCCTGATTGCCCGCGCGCCCTTGTTGGCCGTGGCGGCGAGCGTGGTCCAGGCGGGCGCGTTGCCGTACATGCCGTTGAGCTCGAGGCGCCCGCCCACGGTGGCGAAGACGCGCACGCCCACGGAGCGCGGCTGGTACGGCGCGGCGGGGGGCCGCGTGATGGTGAGCTCGTTGGCGGCGCCGGTTAGGTTGACGGTGAGCTTGCCGCGGTACGGCGCGTCCGCCGTGCCGACGGTGACTCGGCCCTGATTCAACACGAACGCCGTCAGCACCTGCAGCGGCCCCGCCGCCTCCACCCTGCGCACGCACGCGCGGAAGGGGGGGGAGGGGGGAGGGGGGATGGGGGAAGGGGGAGGGGGTAGGGGGGCAAAGCGGTGAGGAAGGACGACAAGGGGAATGGGGTGAGTGGATATAGGGGCGTGCGGGGGAAAAGGGGCAAGGGGTTGCGGGAAAGGGCGGCAAGGAGTGGCTTCGAGCCGTCGCAAGATCAGGAGAGAGCGAGAGGCGGGGGACGGGGGGGAAACCGGGGGACGGGAGGGAACCGGGGGGAACCGGGGGTAACCGGGGGGGAACCGGGGGGGAACCGGGGGGAGGGGCAGTTGCTTACTTGAGCCAGCCGTTGACCTTTAGAACGTAGACGGTGATGCTGACGTCTAAGAGAATACCCACGCCGCACGGTATCGTCGCGTTGGCGCCTCGGTTGTTGCCCACACCCGGCACTCTGCTATTGGGCCACGCCCTCGGGTCGCTCCACCGCTTCCAACCTTTAGGAGGAGGGTCCTTGTACGACTCGGGCCCGCAGAAGGGTTTAAAGACGTCGGTTACATCCCCGCGAGAGAAGCCTGCGGCTGAAAGCAACAGCACCGCTAGTAGCGCTGTCGCGGCTGGTCTTAGTACCGTCGGTTGTTGATGATGCATCGCTGGAAAGCAGGAAGTGCTAGGGTGGTTTAATCTAAGGTTGTTCAATCTGTGACAGGACGCGCTAGCGTGCGCGATCCGCTGTCGGCGTCGCCTGCCCAGCACTGCAGAATGCGAGGGACCACGATCCGCAAACGGAGACATTGCTTCGTATGTTCGCTCCGCTCGCCGACTCGCTACGGGCGGTCCAGCGGCAAAACGGAGACCTTTTTAAACACCTGAAGGGTCTCACGGTCAACCGTCACCGCTTAGGTTGCCTACGCGCGGTACGCGCTAGCGAATAAGGCGCAATAGAATACTACGTGTATGGAAGACGAGATGTCTGTTAAGCCGGCATCCCTGAATGACAATGGCGATGGCAGGTGGTCTTGCGGGCCCGTGCGGCTGTGCCTTACTGGGGAAGGTACAGCCTCCCACACTGTTCTGCTTCCTGGTCTGCATCACTGGAACGACGCGTCATCGACCGATGACCTAGCCTCGCGAACGCGAATCAATGCTAGTGGTTCGGTTGAAGTACCGAAGCATGACTCTCGAACAGAGCGCGAAGTGAGGTTGTTGAGAACGAGGGCGAAAAAAGAGGAATGCTGACCCTTATCGCCCTTTAGAGACCCATTCCGATGGACGGTCGGTATAGCGGAGCCGGGAGGAACAAGAGCGGCGAATAAGTCGCGAAGCGGACAGTGTGGTACGTATGGGGAATCGAACAGGCAAGGGGCTCATCGCTTGCACAGCATGGGACAGGAGCGCCTGCGCGCAATCTGCGGTGCGACATTAGCCTCCTCCACTCCAATGAACGTCGGTGAGAAGGGGGGGCGCGCCGTGGAGGCGTTATTCAGTGTGGGGCTCAACCATTGATGATTCCCTTCCCTTGAGTCTTCTTGACTTGACCTGTTCTCTGCCCAGGCCACGCGAATGTTTGTGCCATGCCGTGGCTGTCTGCTAGGCTCGGGAATGCCTCGAGCAGTATGGTTTTCTTGCTCGCGCTGATTCCTAAGTAAGAACCAGAGCTGCCGTCACCTTGCTTTGGGATTACCCTGGTTGTTTCGGTTCGGCCACGGCTCACGAATTTCGAGACTCAGGTTCGCGTTGCTACCACGGCTCCCTCGCTCCATCATCTTAGGAGAGCCCAAGCAGGTAACCACCGTGGTTTGGGGAGCAGCCACGCCGCGCCTCCAGGCAGACTCAATGACAGCTGTGTGGAAACGCCCAAATTGGTGGTCTAGGCTGTGTCCTTTTGGTTCGGCACGAGCTTGTGGGGCCAAGCCAACGAGGGTTCACCGAAGCTGGTTTAGTTGGAAGGAAACTGCTCGCTACAAGCGGCTCGATCTGGGCAACTGCTATGATGATTGAAGTAACAAAACTGGCTACGGCTATGGAAATATAGATAGCGGGAAATGCATGAGTTGCAAGACGTTATTATCGGAATGAACGTGGTTGCTATCCATTTGTCATCTTCAAGCAAGAATAGGAATCCAATGTGGTGTCACCAAAAGATGCACTTGTCTAGCCTTTTATATTTACCATATATTCGATCAAAGCCAATGGCTAACGTTTTTTACAACATTAGGCTATGCAATGAAGTAATTGGGATAGTTAGCCATGAGCAGCATTCTTTTGTGTTCTCTACAGTCGGTAAACGCTATCAGGTTTTTTAGTGCTTGGACATTTGAAATTTATTCCTGGGAGCTGCATGGTTTTTGAAAGGCTTGGACCGACGAGGTGAAGTCTCAAGAAAACCATGGCGGCGGAGGGCATGAGGGCTGTAGGGCGCAAGGGAAAGGAAGTGGAATGCGAGAAAACGGCACACGACGATGCCGCTGATACCAATAATGACGAGCAAAGCGACGAGGACGATGATTTCGACGATTTCGCTGACTACCCGGATACGGGGGAGGAGGAGGAGGAAGATGACGATGACTCGACAAGTGATGAGGAGGGAAGAGAGAGCAAGGGAGATGTCGGGGAGGGAGAAGAGGAGGAGGAAGAGGACGCTGATTGGCTGCCTCGATGGGTAAAATCTCGTCTGGATAACCGTCAGCCTCTCCGCAGGTGGCAATGCCTGAACTGCACCAACGTCAACGTCGCCGCCCATGCTCAGCGTTCCGGGACAGGCGAGACAGACGAGACTAGAAGAGAGATGGAATTACCAGAAGAGAGGGATAACGGCGGCCGTGACAGTAACGGGAGTGATAGTGATAGTGACGTGCAGGAGGTTACGGCGGACATGGAGGTTGAGTGGGTGGCGACGGAGAAGGGGAAGGGGGAGGGGAGTGCAGGGAAGGGTAAGGAGAGGAGTGGGGAGGTCGGCCGTGAGAAGAGCAAAGGGGCGGCGAGCGATGAGGACGAAGAGTGCGATGTGAGTAGTAGGAGAGTCAGGGCGGAACCTGCTGGTAGGGGAGAAATGTGCTGGTGCTGACAGGTGGGGGTGAGGTGGAGGTGCCGCCATGGGCGATATGGGCACGGGCTTGTCATGGCGGTTACATATTACATATGCCAAGCCTGCGTTGCTACCCGTGATATGTCTCTATGTGCAGGAGTGCGGTGCCTTGGAGTCATTCACCATCCAGTCTGTAGAGACAATGGGAGCCACAGCAGCAGCAGCAGCAGCAGCAGCAAGAAGCGGAGCAGCAAGGGGCGCATGTCATCCGCCGCTACCCGCAACCTCAGCCTCAGCAGCAGCACCGCTACCCAATGGCAGCCTCTCTTCTCCCGCCGCTCTCAGCCCTGCGAATCCCAAGTCAGGGGCAGGGAAATCAGGGAAGAAGAAATCTGGAGCGAAGAAAGCAGGAGAGGAGGAGGGTGGGGGGTTGGAGCGGCAGACTGCAGTAGGATGCGATGAGAGGATGCTGCTGCATGAAGAGGTGAGGGGCGTTGCTCAAAGGAGTTGTTCATAGGAGTTGCTTTGCTTCTATTCCACCCCTTCCACTCACCCCTTCCACTCACCCCTTCCACTCACCCCTTCCACTCACCCCTTCCACTCACCCCTTCCATTCACCCCTTCCACTCACCCCTTCCACTCACCCCTTCCACTCGCCCATGGTCCGCTCCATCTCCCAATCCCCCTCTTCCGCTCACCTGGCCCATTTCCTTCACTCCCTCCCCATTCCCTCCTCCTCCGCTCGCTACCCCGCTCTCCCCCTCCGCCCTGGGCCATAGCTTGGCAATCTTCTTCCTGCATCCTAAGCTCCCCGACCGCCCCTCCCCCCTCTCCTGTCCTCATTCCCTCGTTCTTCCCCCCCCCCTCCTGTGCTATAGCTCGGCAAGGCCTCCCTGCATCCTGACCGCCCAGACCGCCCCTCCCCCTTCTTTTGCCCTGATTCCCTCGTACCCCTCTCCTCCCCCCCCCTCTCCCCTGTGCCATAGCTCGGCAAAGCCTCCCTGCATCCTGAGCGCCCCGACCGCCTCAGAGCCATTCTGGCGTACCTTAAAGGCGCAGGTGGGTGGGGGCGAGGCTGCCAGGGGATGGGACGGGAGTGAGAGGAAAACAAAATAAGGAGGGAGAGGGGGTTGGGGTGGGCTGGGTTGGGTTGCACAGCTGCTTGTTTCCGTCGTTGTTTGCTGTGTCTGCATGTCCTTACACAACTTTTGGGGCGCCTCAAAAGGTGGTTTGCATGTCGTTACACAAACACATTGGATAATGTCTGCATCTGTGTGTATGCCTGCTTATATGTGTGCTTGTGTTCCGGTGCCCATGTGTGCACATGCATACATGCATGTATGCATGTGTGTGTGCGTGTGTGTATGGATATATGCACATGCAGGGTTGTTCCCGGGTCCATGCAAGGCATGGCCATCAGAGAGTGCAGCAGACAAACTCATTCTCAATGTGAGCTGCCATGCTATGCATTCATCTACGCACACACGCAAACATATATCCACCTTGCCAGCATGCATGCATGCATCCATCCATCCATCCATCCATCCATCTCCCGGGTGCTCGACATCTGTGTGCTTCCCTCCTGTCCTGCCCCTCTACTTCATGCTCCTGCCTTCTCTCACACTTGTTTCTATGTTTCAGAGCTCATAGTTCTCCCTGCCTTTGTTTCTTCGCTCTCATATATCCGCACTGATTTCTTCCCTCCACAACCCATCCTCTCTTGTGCATCTCATCCCATCAGAGCCACACGCCCAACCATCTCGCCACTGTAGAGAAGGCTGCTCTGACTGACACCAGGTGGGCATGAAGTCAGCCTCAGGTGGGTAAACATCCGGGAAGTGAGCACTGAGCAGCACCACTCCAGATTAAAATAGTTCCAACGTTGCAAGCCCATTCTCCCTTCCGCCCTGCAGTGCATTCAACCCCGACACATACGCCAACCAGCACTCCCCAGCAGCAGCGCGCCTGGCAGCGGGGACAGCAGCCTCCATGGCCCGCGCCATTGCCACCAGGCGCCTGCTCAACGGCTTCGCACTCGTGAGATCTGCTACCGTTGTTTCCCTCCACGTTGTTTGCCTTGCCACCTGCCATCTGCTGGACAGCTTTGCTCTGGTGCGATCCGCTACCTTGGTGGTGCCGTTATCTTTCGTCCTCCCCCGCCCATCTCGTGCCTCGTCCTCTAATATCCTCTCTCCTTCCTCCTTTCTCGCTCTCTTCACCCTCTCCTACTCACACACTCCCCATTCCCTTCTCATCCCCCCCCTTCCCCCCCCCTTCCCCCCCCTTCCCCCCCCCTTCCCACACCCTTCCCCCCCGCTCCCCTCACTCCCCCTGCCTGTGCTCTCCATGCGTCCCCCAGGTGCGGCCGCCAGGGCACCATGCGGGGTCGGAGGGTCCTCAGGGCTTCTGTCTGCACAACAACGCAGCGGTGGCAGCCAGGGCAGCGCAGGCAGCAGGGGCCAAGAAGATCCTGCTGCTCGACTGGGTCAGTCAGCGGCTGCGCTTCTTGCCTTCTCCCACATGCTCGCTCGCAGCTTGCTGGTTTCTAACGCGCTTCGTCTCCTTGCCGTGCTGAATGCTTGTTATCTTGAGGCAGTGCAGTGCTGCTGCCTGCCAGTGGCACAGTGCAGTGCCCTTCAATGCATTTTGGAACCTTGAGGCGCACAGCATTGCTCGTTTGGAATGTCCTTGTTGAGTGGATACGGCCTGTGTTTTGGCTTTGGGCCGTGCTCCTGTCATGCGCGTACAGCATCTGTGTCTGTGCATGCCTGCTCGTGTGAATGCAAGTGTGTTTTCTCCCCATCATCCCCACCAACCCCACCACCCCCACCACCCCCACCACCCCCGACACCCCCGACACCCCCACAGGACGTGCACCACGGCAATGGAACGCAGCAGATATTTGAGGACGACCCATCTGTGAGCACCTTACCTCCTCCCATTCTCCACTCACCCCACACCTATTTTCGAGGCGCCTCAACACTCAAAAACTTCTGAGGCGCCTCAGAACGCAAGACTTTTTAGGCGCGTCAGAACGTGAGCAAGCTTCGTCCTCCCATTCTCCATCCATGCTACATACCTTTGCACGCTCTCCTCATCCGCACACCCATGCCGTGCCAGCCCCCGCTTTGTTTCTCCCTCCTGTACCGTCTCAGCCCGTGCCCTCACCTTGATATGCTTTCCCGCTCATTCCCCATCCGCTCCCATCAATAGATCCTCCCTCCCCTACCATGCGTGTCCTTTTCACCCCTCCTTGGTCTGTTTTTGTGGCGCCTCAAAAATAGACTCCCATGCGTGTCCTTTTCTCCCGTCCTTGGAGACAAGGACCTCCCAGAAAGCCTCCGCCGCCCCCGCCTCTCTCTCGTTCTCCCCCTCATAACCCCCCCAGGTGTTCTATGTGTCCATCCATAGGCATGAGGGGGGCTCATTCTTTCCCGGCACTGGAGCGCCCACTGAGGTACTCTTGCTCCCAAACACTCTTCGATTTCCTGCTGCCATGCCTCCTGCTGCCATGCCTCCTGCTGCCATGCCTCCTGCTGCCATGCCTCCTGCTGCCATGCCTCCTGCTGCCATGCCTCCTGCTGCCATGCCTCCTGCTGCCATGCCTCCTGCTGCCATGCCTCCTGCTGCCATGCCTCCTGCTGCCATGCCTCCTGCTGCCATGCCTCCTGCTGCCATGCCTCCTGCTGCCATGCCTCCTGCTGCCATGCCTCCTGCGGCCATGCCTCCTGCGGCCATGCCTCCTGCGGCCATGCCTCCTGCGGCCATGCCTCCTGCGGCCATGCCTCCTGTGGCCATGCCTCCTGTGGCCATGCCTCCTGCTGTCCACCAGGCTCTCGGTTGTTTTTCCTTCCACTCTTCTCCCATCCTCCCCCCTCACCTCGTCTCTCCTCTCCCCCCTTCATCTCCCCTCCCTTCTCCCTCTCTCTCCTGTTTCCCTCAGCTGCTACACCCATTACACGAGAGTACACCTGTGCTCAGTCCTGCTCCCTCTCTCCCATGCCCCCTCGCCCACCCTCTCCGTCCTCCACCCTCGCTCACCTGCAGATCGGGACAGGGCCAGGAGAGGGGCGGTCGGCCAACGTGGCATGGCCGTGCGGAGCCATGACCGACGCGGATTACCTCGCTGCCTTCTTCCACCTCATACTGCCCCTCGGTGCGTGAATAGCACCCTTCCGTTACTCCGAGGTGCCTTTTGAATCAACTCAAAAGTCACCTCACCTCATACTGCCGCTCCCTGCGTGAACAACACCCTTCCTTCTGTTGCTCCGTCTGCTTCTGTTGCGCCACATTGACTGGCATGGCATGGTATGACTTGGCACGTCTCCATGTTTTTGCTGCCAACATTGTGCACAATGTTGCAGCATATGAGTTTCAACCGGACCTGACAATCATATCAGCTGGATTCGATGCTGCTGAAGGCGATCCACTTGGTGGATGCAAGGTGCCGTTCCCCCTCTTTTCTTCCCCCCACCCCCTTTCTCTCCGCCACCATTCCTCCTCCCCACTCCCCCCCGCGCCCTTCCCTCCTTCTACATTGACCTCTTCTCTCCTTGGCTCCACTTTTCTGTCCACTCCGTTGCTCGCACCTAGCACTGGCAGCCCACGCACACCGTGTGGTGTAAGCTTTGCCAGTTAGAAGGGTCCAACATGGATGTAAGCCTGATCACGACCGCTCAGTCTGTGATTCATACTCCACCCTCTCTCTGTCCCCTGCTACCTCACATCACATCCCATCACATCCCATCGCACCCCATTGCATTCCATGCCACCACCAGGTATCACCAGCGGGATTCGCCCATATGACATCGCTCCTGCTGCCTCTCACAGCCAACCGAATGCTGCTCATTCTCGAAGGAGGGTCAGTGCTCCACGCTCCCTGCTGCTTTCTGCTTTCTACTTTTGGCTTTCTACTTGCCCAAGCCTGACTGCTTCCCCTCGTCGCGTACTGTGCTGATGCTGGTGCTCTCTCGCTTTCTGTGTACTATGCGGTGCTGTGCCATGTCTGTTGCTGTTACCAGGTACAACCTCCTCTCCATTGCATCTTCAACTGCTGCTGTGATTCGAGTGAGCCCATTCACAGCCATCGCTTGGCATCACATGCTACCTTGCCCCATCTTTCTGCCTCATGCGCACACAAATCATGTTGAAATGTCATGCCCGGTTTTCACTATCCCTCTTGTCATTGGCCACTCTCTTGTCTCCCTGTCCCCTTATCCCCATGATCAACCACCTCCCTCCATCGGTCCATTTTCCACAACTCCACACTCGTTCCCCCCTTCCTGCCCCTTCTTTTCCGTCCCTTGCTGTCCTCCCTTCCCTTGTCACCCCCTCAGGTGCTACTGAAGAAGCCCCCTCCGCCCATCCACTAAAAGCCACTTCTTTTGAGTCGATTCGCAAGTCTAATTTTCACCCCCTTGCTCCTCTCCCTCCCCCTCTCATCCCCCGCAGGTGCAAGTGAACCAGCCCCCTTTGCCCATCTGAGGTGACATTTGAGCCGTCTCAATGTCACATCTTTTATGAGTCAACGCACTAGTCTTCTCTTCCCTCCCTTGCTCCCCTCCCTCCACTTCTCATCCCCCTTAGGTGCTGCTGAACCAGCCCCTCCCGGCCATCCGTGCGCCCTTCACCCCCTCGCCTCCAGCCATGGCAGCCATTCTCATGGCAGCGGCTGCCCTTCGCCCCTTCTGGAAGTGCCTTGCCGCTCAAGCCGCTGCCGCCTCCCCTCTTCTGCTTCCCCTCATGCCCAACGCTGCTGCGGCCAGCCATCCTCCTTCTGGTCCTCCTGCTGCTGCTGCCGCTGCTGCGGCGGCGGCGGCTGTAGGCGGTGGTCAGGAGGAGGCGAAGGAAAGAGAAGATGCAGCCCCGGCACGCACAAGAGCGGCTGGAAAGGAAGCCTCCCATGGTAAAGCAGCAATGCAGCAGCAGCAGCAGCAGCGGCGGCGGCGGCGGCGGCAGCAGCGGCAGAATGTTCAAGGAAGAGTGCGGCACGGGGCACATGGGGGACGGCCAGGCAGGGGGCATGAGCGGGTGCGGGTGGGGCTGCGGTCGTTCCCCTCGTGGTGGATGCTGCGCCGTGTGCACATGCCGTGGCTGTGGGCTGTGCCCCTCGTGCGCAGCGGCCTCACAGGCGGGTCAGGACTTCTCACGAAGGAAGGGAGGTGCAGAGGCGAATGAGGGTGGGGGCTCCGGTCGTTCCCCTCGTGGTGGATGCTGCGCCGCGTGCACGTGTGCACATGCCGTGGCTGTGGGCCGTGCCGCTCGTGCGCAGCGGCTTGCCTCATAGGCGGGTCAGTCAGGACTTCTCACTAGGGAGGGGAGTGGCAGAGGCGAATGAGGTGCATGTGCTGGTGCATGTGTGGGTGCGCTTGGGGCTGCAGTCATTCCTCTCATGATGCATGCTGCGCAGTGTGCACATGCTGTGGCTGTGGTTCACAGCGGCTTGCCTCACAGGCGCATGAGGAGAACTCACACGACATGAGGCATGTCTCAGGGGGGGAGTTGCTGGCAGAGACAGGTCGCTGACATGGGTAGGGTAGGAAACTCACACGCAAGGCAAAATAGTAGAGGGAGATGGTACCCTTGACAGCCGCCTTTTTGCACCGTCTAAGGAGTGGAATGAGTGGAATGAGTGGGATGAGTGGGAGTAAGGAAATAAAAATGATTCGTTTTACGGTAGCTAGTTGTGACTGAAATTGTTGATCATGCCCTTGCCTTGTGCAGATACTTGTGTCTGGTCTGCTCTCTTAAGTAACACACGGTATCGCGTGTTTGCAGCAAGAGTGTAAGACACTACTCCTGTTCTGCAGAGTTACTAGTAATCAAATCTGACATCCAGTGGAAGATGACCACGAATGTTGTTGCGCTGCTGCTAGTACTTGACACTGACCATGTTGCTGCAAAGCTATTCAACTCATTGCAACAGCTGCCACGCATTCCCTCACCATTCCTCAGTATTCACTTGATCATCGTAACACCAGCAAGCCAAGCCATGCAGCAGAGCTTGTGGAAATCAAAACAGGAGAGCTGTGACAGTTACGGCAGACACCGCTCCTACAACCGCCTACTACGGATCCGTCATCAGCACAACATCACATAGCGAGTTAGCAGCAGAAACGCTAGCTGCTGCTGCTGCTTCACTCCGTACCAGGACAAGCACCGTGCAAGGAGAGCAATACCATCTCTGGAAGCAAAGAAAGAACCATATCCAGCAGCATCCACACCGAATCCTGCCTCCCTGCAGCAGGCGGAGGCTGGGCCCAAAGCACCCGGTAACAGCAGCAGCAGCAGCAGCAGCGGCGGTCGGAAGCCAACTATGAGTCGGAGCGTTTGGGCTGTGGGGCGAGTGTGCGCACGAGGGGGGAGGGCGGCGGCTGTGCCTTGAGCACCTGCACGAACTGCCCCAGCGCCTCGTGAATCTGCTCCAGCGCCTGCGCCGGGATTATAATCACCGACCGATCCGTGCCTTGCACCTGCATGAGGGGGAAGAGCGGGGGGGGGGGGGGGGGAGGGGGGGGGGGGCAGTTGAAAAAAGGGAGATTAGACTTTGCACTGGGTGGAGGAGTCACAGCAAGAGCAGTGGGTGGAATCAGTAGGAGCAGAAACGGGGAGCTGGGGCTGATCGACAGGATGTGTGCTTCAACACGTTTCTCTGCTTGAGCGTTTGCTGGGGATAGTGATGACCCTTCATGGCATACCAACAGTTGCAGGTTGACAGGGAACAACTGGTTCTCGTGCTCGCGCTCCAACATCCCATCCCATTCCTTCCCATCCCATCCTATCCCTGCCCGTACCACCCCATCACACCCCACATCCAGCGTGCACCTTCGCCCTACGCACCTCGGAAACCTTGAGAAACTGGCCCCGCAGGTTCGACCCCAGGTCCAGGAAGAACCTCTTCTGCTCCGCGCGGATAACGCGCGATGCCAACACGTTGCCGCCCGGCCCGCTGCCACCGCCACCCGTCGAGGGGCCGCCTGGGGCAGCCGCCGACGCCGCGACTGCGCCCCCCTCCGCCGCCCCGCCCGCCGCTGGTGCCGCCGCCGCGGGTGCAGCGGCCACCGCCGTGTGGTGGAACGAACCGTCAACCTGTGGGCGAAGTAGGGGAGAGAGCGGGGGGGGAACGGGGGGGGATGGGTGGGAGGGGAAAGGGAGAGAGACTCGATGTCAGCTCGTGCAGACAAGCTTATACCCGTAAATCGTGCAGTCGCGTACACATGCCGCTTAAGGTTGTGCACAGATCCGATCGCAACCCGCTGGTATTACCTGCTTCCCTACTAAACCCTCATATCCCCAGGAATGCAAGCCCCTTCACCACCCACTGCCACTGCCGCCTCATCTCTCTCCCCCCTCCTTCCTCCCCCTGTTCATGGACCAAGTGCTCACCTGCGTGGCGGGCACGGCGCCGGACGCGCTGGGCGTGGGCAGCGCGATGGACGCCTCGTGGATCTCCACCAGCACGTTGCGGAACGCCGCCCAGCCCTCCGCCGCGGGGCCGCCCGCCGGCACGATGATGGTGGAGCGCGCGCGCGCCATGCTGGCCTCCGACACCTGCGCGCGACCACGAGAGTTACGAGAGGGGGGGGGGAGGCGGGGAGGAGAGGGGGGGAGAGGATTTATGAGTGTGACGGTGGTTGACGCATCGGAGAACCAAGCAGCAGCCATGCAGAGACCTGAACCGGTGAGGAGAGACACGAGCGATGCAGCAAGGAGTGAGGATACGACAAGAAATGTGTGCCTGGTTCAGTGCCCGTTCTTTCCAACATCCTACACCCTCCTCGATGCTTCCAGCATCTCGACTGCATGTTCCATCCCGGAAGCGAAAAAAACGATGCGGTACATCTTTCGCATACTAAGCAATGACTCCCCTATCGCATAACGCCATCGACACGCGCATCGAAAAAAAAAAGGACGTACCTTGAGGAAACGACCCCGAGCGTTCTCGCCGACATCGAAGTAGAAAACCTGGAAACGGCGCGCGTAAGGGTAGACAACCGACGGAACAACGGAAGGAACAACGGAAGGGATCAAAATACGGTGAACAGACGGATCGGAACAAGGGCGGATCGAATCGTACATCGGGAAAAAAATCGGCGCGGGAGAGACCTTCACGGCTATGAATCGGCGAAAAAAAAGAGCGGTGTAAGACAACAGGCGAAAAGGCGATCTAACGGGATGACTTTTGAGTCGACTGAAAAGGCGATCTAACGGGAAGGACACAAAAGGCGGCGGCCTCCCCGAAGAGACTTGCGTGACAGGGATAACGCAGCCTTCAAGACGCTCTGCATTAAGCTCTAAATCAGCGGATAGGTCGTCGGCGTGCTGCCGCTCTCTCGGGTGCGACGAGATCAACCCTAACCAGTCACGGCATCAATAAAAGCGTAGAAAACGACACGCGGAGCAGGAGCTCCAGCCACGACTTTCAGCGCACCTTTGTGTCGAGCTGAAGCTCTTTGCTGCTGAGCTCGGCGTCGTTGGCGCCATTGGCGTAGTAGTTGAACAGATCTACAAACCACACGACGCCGGCCAGCGGCACGATGATCGTCGACCGGTTCACCGCCGTCTTCTCGCTGATCTTGAGAAACCGGCCCCGGGGGTTGTCTTTAAGGTCGAGATAGAAGAGCTTCTGCTCGATCTGGAGCGATCTCGACATCAGCTCCATTTCACCGCCGCCCATTCCGCCGCCCATGCCGCTGCCACCAGGTGCTGGCATCCCGCCGTCCATCCCTCCTGCGATTCTAGAAAAAGGAAGTCGAGTTTTTTATGTTGGGATCTGTAGAAGCGGGTGTTTGGAGTAGAGGTAGATCTGGCTTTCGCCTAGCTGATGGTGATCCGCGGGAGAGGGTTTTACGATGCACCACCAAACCCTGCTTCGTTGGCGCGAAGACCACGTACGGAACCGGAGTCACACCCCCTGCCGATAACTACTGTCTCTCAGCTTCGCTCTCACCGCCGGAACCTACCCACTGGGAAGCGGGTGCAAGGGTGTCAGAGGGAAACAAGGACGAATACGGAGCCAACAAGAGACCACAGAAATTCTAGGAGACGGTTATGACGTACGAACGAGGGAGAGGGGAGATGGAAATACTAGCAGCGGGGAAATATCTTTCCCTCGGCACACTCGCGCAAACCCCCGCGCGCACGCAGTGTCCCCCTCCCTCCCCGAACTTATTCTACCTGACCTGACTCCCCACGAACCTAAACCTTCCCCAAACTCCGCCCAAACCCAGATCTCACGCTCGCGCGCTTTTTACGAGCTAGGCTGACTGGTTCGGAACCGCGACGTGTCCTCCCACTGCCCAGGCCTCCAATTTCCCCTTGATGCCACGTCGGGTGGAATCATGAGGTTCGGCCTGCGTTTTCGGATCTGGGAACCAGCCCTTGCGGTATGGAGAGGGCCGTTCGAAATTTGGTAGACGTCCCCTTGGACGCGGTACAATCATGGGAGAAGGCTCTGTGAGGTGTACGAAGCGTCGGAAATTTAACCAGGAGCGCTGTCAAAAACCCCTTACAAAATCGAAAGGTGTGGTCATCATCAATAACTATAATCGGATGACGAAATACAACTATGGACTCAATCAACAACTAGCAGCTGTACAATTATACTAGCAATCCGCTACTGATTCAATAGTATTGCAATGCATGTTCTCGATGCAAGCTATCACTGCATCAAAGTTACCAACACATGTTGAACTTGCAAGCTCCGAGTCAATTCGCACTGCCATCCGATCAACCTTCTGTCCGAAGTGCTCGTCATCGATCATCACTAGATAGGCAAGCACTCGGCTCATGGAAGGCCGGGATGCAGTTGGCATGGCAATGCAGCTGAGTGCCAGGCGAGCCAACTGCAGCACCAACCTATCCAGGGCTTCCAAGTGGGGGTCCTTGAATGCTGCCACGTTATTAGACGCCACAAGAGAAGCCGCCCATGTCTTGAGGTCGACCTGTTCTGCCTCCATGCTGAAGACCGCCTTGCGAGCTGTGAGCACTGTCAGCATCACCACGCCAAAACTGGTGGGATAGGAAAGAGGAGGGATCTGATGACACTTCCAGATTCACGATGCTGAAGCCCAGCTCTAGAACCACAACAGTTTCTATATTTAGTCTGCCTTCAAGAGCAATCGATGGATTGGGGAAGCAAGGTAGATCCGAGCTGTGATTGAGCACATTCCACTGTCCTTTCACAATGTCCACATACCTGTACACATCAGCCATGGGAGTAGCCTTCTGTGACCTGCAGTAAGCGGGGTCCACATAGCCAGGTGTTCCCATCACCCGAGTGGCAGCCACAGATGTACCCTCCGAATACCTTAACAACCCAAAGTCAGCAATCTTTGCCTGCCAGAATTATTGGGGTTTTGGGGAATAAAGTCGATGCTTCCATTTAACAACAACCAGCACAAAACGTGGGGCATGAGTTTCATAACATTCTCATGAACAAAAAAAGCTACAAAAGTACCTTCATGTGGTCATCGAGGAGGATGTTGGTGGGCTTGATGTCGCGATGCACAATGCCAAACTCATGAAGATACTGCAGGCCAGAAGCCACGCCTAGAAGAATGTCCAGCCGCTGCCGCATGGTCAGAGGGTGAGGCACGGCTGAGAGAGGAGAGGGTCGGGATAGGGGCAGGAGGGAAAGAAGGTTGGTACTTAGAAAGGACGGGGGGGAGGGTTGGGAGAATACAGGAGTGACTTGGGGGAGAGAGTGGGGGGTGGGGAGTGGCAGGTGGGGGTGGCGGGTGCTGGAGGAAGGGTGGGGAGGGATAGAAGGTGGTGTAAGGGGAAGGGGGAGAGAAAAGGGAGGTGCTTACAGGGCCCGATCCACTGTTCGAGGTCGCCATTGGGCATGAAATCGTACATGACGATCTGCTCCATCCTCTCAGTCACAGGACTGAAGTCCAGGCAGTACCCCACCAGCCGCACCAGGTTCGGGTGGTTCTTCGTCGCCATCTCGTTCACATGCCATGCCATGCCATGCAACAACAAACAGCAGAAACGCAGTAAGGGCGCGGCAGAACAGCTTACTAGAAGGGACAGATGGGAGGGATAGAGATCGGAACATTGTCATTGCATCACGCTGGCCTTCATCTCACAAGGACATGGCAACACGGATTTGAGCAAACCCCCTCCCCCCCCTCCTGACCTCGCGCTTGAAGTCGTTGGTGAGGATCTTGGCGCGCTTGACGGCCCAGATGAGGGAGGGGTTGTGGGGGCACTCGCCCTTGTACACATCCCCGAAGCTGCCCCCCCCAATGCGCCTGCTCTCCGCCCAGTCGCTCGTCGCCTGCACCACCTCCGCCAGCGAGTACTGCGCACATACCTGCCCCGCCCCGCCTCCTACCCCCACACCCATTGCGCCCTTCCCCCTTGCAGCAGCTGCTGCTAGTGTCGAAACAACTGCAGCCAATGCTGTTGCTGTTGATACTTGTGGCGTTCCTGATGTAGATGTCGATGCTGGCGTGGCTGATGCTGGCGTGGCTGATGCTGGCGTGGCTGATGCTGGTGTGGCTGATGCTGGTGTGGCTGATGCTGGCGTGGCTGATGCTGGCGTGGCTGATTCTGGTGTGGCTGATGCTGGCGTGGCTGGTGCTGGTATCGCTGCCTCCCTGGGCTGGAGGTGTTTGGTTGCAGGGTGCACATCTGCTGCAGTGGGACGATGCTTGCCCCTCCCTGCGCGTGTACAGTGTCCCTTTAGGGCTCTTGCTGCTGCCCTTTCCGCAGCTGCTTCTTTTGCTGCTTCTCCTCCTGCATCTGCCCGCGTTGAGGCGTCTGGTGTTTGAGCGTATGGCTTTGCGGATTGCGGGACTGATTCGGCAGGGGCGAACTGGTTCATAGTAATCGCTGCGTCTACTTTTGCCGAAGCTCCTCCCCTTGCGCCGTCTAGCGCTCCCCTTCTTGCTGATGCTCTTGCTCCTCCCCTTGATCCATCCCTCGTTCCTCTTGTTTCGTCTCCCGCTCCTTCCCTCGCTCTTCTCGCTCCCTCTCTCGCTCCGTCCGTTCCCCCTGCCGTTGCGCGTGGGCGTGGCGGCCCTGCGCGTCGCACGTACAGAGCGTGCATGTTGAGGGGCGACGACGGGCACGTTCCTTGCCATTCATCCGATGATGACTCGTCCTCTCGATCTCTGCCTCGCCCCGCTCTCCGTCCTCGCAACCAGCGCAAGAATCGCGGCGTACGAACTCCACCTTCTCGTCGCGTTGTGTCTGTCTCGCTTCCCATCCTTCGCCGGTACGCAGATCCCGCTTCCCGCCAATCGTCTGCGCGGCACGACGACTCGTGTTTCTTTGAGAAAGTGTTTTGCTGCTCCTCGCCATCGCCTCTACGACTGTCTCCTGGGGTTGAGCCTTCGGTTTCGCTCCTCACTTTCCTTCAAGTCAATTTCCTTCCGCCTAGCTGGCCCTGCGGATATGCTCCATCCAGAGCACCAGCAGGAATTGTTGAGCCGCCTCGATATACGCGGCAGCGAGAACCATAACCGCGCAACAGTAACGGATTTTCTATACTTTTTCTCCCACCATTTGAATGGGTACGTACGTGAATCACACTTTCTTAGACACCACGTGCTGATAATTGTTGGGTTTGATGAACGGGTCACCTTGAGGCAGAGGAGGGAGGGAGAGGGGAATTATTTACGAGAGGACACTGACTTCAAAGGAATCAAGGCAATGTAAGATGTGCATCGGGTGGAAGCATACATTTGTTAGAGGTACAACTAAGCCGTAGAAAGCATAATTTTGTCACACACCCTTATAGTTCAGCAGCAGTCTAGTAGCGCATTATTAACACTAGAGTCCATGATGGAAAAGCATCAGCTTACGCAAATCTCAGTTCATTGCATTGCTTGAATAAGCACTGCTTGTCTGCATTCCTTCGATGCGGGCAAGCTCGACATTGAAGTCAGCATTCTCTGAGCCTCCAAGCTCTTGGTCAATCCGAACCGCCATCCTGTCGACCCTCGCCCCCAGGTACTCATCCTGAATCACCAGCAAGTCTCCAAGAATCCGACTCATGGATGGCCGGGATGCAGTGGGCATGGTTGTGCAGCTGAGGGCAAGGCGGGCCATGCGCAGCACCATGCTATCCGGTGCTTCCAAATACGGGTCCTTGAAGGATGCCACGTCATTGGATGCCACCAAGGGTGCCACCTGTTGCTCAAAGGTCAACACACAAGATGTTTAACACCAAAAGGCAAAAAGGGTGATTCGGATGGAAGTTGTTACGTATTCAAGAGAAGCGCATGGCATTCATTACTTACCCATGCCTTGAGGTTGACCATGTTTGAGTCTCGGTTCCAAACAGCTTTGCGTGCTGTGAGCACTGTCAACATCACCACACCAAAGCTGGTGGGGTGGGGCAAGAACGATGACGAGCATGATGTTGAAAAACAGTGGGGGGAATGGGGAGCTAGAAAAATAGGAAGAGATGTAATTCCAATACAGATGGTATAGATATACGGCATGCATATGGTGTCCATTGTAGATAATGCATGTTGTACAGCATATGCCACATTGTTCGCACCTGTGCACATCAGCCATGGGAGTGGCCTTCTGCGACTTGTAGTAGGCGGGGTCCACGTAGCCTGGTGTTCCCATCACTCGGGTGGCTGCCACAGATGTGCCCTCCCCATGCCTCACCAACCCAAAGTCAGCAATCTTTGCCTGCCATGCAAAGGTATAAAGAGCGTATGAAAGGTGGTACGTATGTGTTGCAGCAATCTATTCAATTGAAGCATGGGCTGGCGAAAAAAAAATCCCACTGACTCGTGTACTACCCCGACCTTCATTTTGTCATCGAGGAGGATGTTGGCAGGTTTGATGTCACGATGCACGATACCAAACTCATGGAGATACTCGAGACCACGAGCCATGCCTATGACAATGTCCAGCCGCTGGTGGATGGTCAGATGCTGCTTTGCAGCTGAATGCAGAAGGGAAGGTAAGGGGATAGGGGATGGGGATGTGGACAACAAGACGTGGAGATTGGGAGGTGAGAAAAGGATGGTTAGCAAGCGAAGAAAGGAAGAAATGTACAACGAGAGTAACCCACAAGGTCCGATCCATTGCTCGAGGTCGCCATTGGGCATGAACTCGTAGATGACGATCTGCTCCATCCTCTCAGTCACAGGACTGAAGTCCAGGCAGTACCCCACCAGCCGCACCAGGTTCGGGTGGTTCTTCGTCGCCATCTCGTTCACCTGCCATGCCATGCCATGCAACAACAAACAGCAGAAAAATGATGCTTGCAGGTGAGTTATGGCCATGGCCAAAGGGTTTTCTTTTCACTGGACATGCTTGGTGGTTTTTTCAGCCCCTCTCCCTCTCTTCTCCTCCTCCCCCCCCCCCCCCCAACGCCCCCCGACCTCGCGCTTGAAGTCATTGGTTAGGATTTTGGCGCGCTTGACAGCCCAGATGAGGGAGGGGTTGTGGGGGCACTCGCCCTTGTACACATCCCCGAAGCTGCCCCCCCCAATGCGCCTGCTCTCCGCCCACTCGCTCGTCGCCTGCACCACCTCCGCCAGTGAGTACTGCGCACACACCTGCCCCTGCCCACCTCCTCCCATTCCACCCGTTCCCCATGCTGCTGTGGCTGCTACCACCGGCGCTGAGGCTGGGCATAAGACTGGATTTTTGCGCCCATTCAATTCTTCTAGCTGCTGCTGCTGTGCTCTTGCAGCAGCAGCACCAGCAGCAGCAGCAGCAGCGGCAGCCGTAGCAGCAGCTGTCGATGTTGCTACCCGTGGTCCTGCCGCAACCGACTCTGGCTGCAGTAAATCGCTGGGTGCTGCGTGTGTCGCGTGCTTCTTTCTGAGACCGCCGCCAAACAGAGAGTCTGTCTCATACTTCCCTGACTGCCTCTTGTCCGGTTTACTATGTGCTGTAGCAGTGGCACTCGCTTTTACCCCTGGAACAGCCTCCTTGGGCTCCGTACTAGCCTTTTCTCCGCATTGTCCCTTGGCCTTCTTGTACGCCTTGATGCGCATGTAAATGAACACGCCCAGAATCCACAGCACAATGACCGCCACCGCAGAACCAACTACGAGACCGAAGATCTTCCAATCTGAAGCGCTCAGACTGACGAGTGACCGCCTCGTGATCTTGTGCAAGTCTGCAGCGCCAGGGCAGGTGTGCTTCATGGTGTTGGGCAGTATTGGAAATTGACTGGGATATAATCTCTGAATGCACGAGATATGATCATCCTTCATAAGTTTCCAAGTTGTAAGGCACAATATGATCTGTTATTGCATCCAGAAGACTGCCAAAGTTCAGACCCGCGCGGAAAAGAACTTATTTTGTTTGAAGACTGACAAACTTGAAGTCATTTGTTTGACTTGAGCTGCACTTTTGAAGGATACCTGGAATTCGGAATAACGAACCTGACAGAGTCTCGTGACGCTCTTGCGCGAAGGCGGACGGTTCCTGACGCCGCGTGGTGTCTCGTGGCGCTTGTAATGTTTCTGGTTCTAATCGCCTCCCATAAGACTGCCGAAGCAGTAGCAGAAAAACGAAGAGGCGAATGCCGGCGTCCACGAATGCGTTTACGTCTATGGCTAGAATAACAGAGATTGATATCGTCATCGTCGTTCACCGCTCACGACTCAAGTTGAGTTGTCTTCCGAAGATGAGCTCAGTTCATGCAGCCCCCCCTGTCTGAGTCTGTTCATGCAGAAGCGTAAATTCCTTCACGCTGAACCGGTTTTTCAAGTTGTGCATGTCTGAAAGCTCCACGAACTACTCAGAAGCGGAGGATAAGGAATTCATACAACAGAATACTAGAGCCACCAATTTTCAAGAAATCGAACGGGAGACGAAGAAAGCACGCTCGGGCTTAGCGGAATAGCAACCTGAGGGTGTGGAACATAGGGCCACGAAACTTCGAGCGAGGGGAATTAGGTCTAGTACGCTTTATTTGAATGCTGGCAAGTTTCAAATTGGCGTGGAGTGGTGGAAGTACGAACTTGAGTTCGTGGCTGTATTCTCCACACCCTGAGGTTGCTGGCACAGAGGAATGCGAGGCGAGGGGAGGGAGAAACAGACATGCCACAACAAATTTTGCTTGTCAGCATTGTGTGATGTGGAGTTCCTCGTTGGCCAATTGGAGTCGAGCCGCTAACCAGCAGGCATTGGGGGAGGGGACAACGGGCTAGGATAATCCATTTCGGGATGACGTAAGGTTGGCTGTTGACTTCGAAAGACTCGACGGCAAACCCAAGGCGCCAGTTTCTCGAGCTAGTAACGCAGACAGTACAGTGATGCTTCCGTGTTGCGAATGTTAAAGCGAAAGTGTACAATATCTTCAAGGTTCAAAGGGGTTTGAACCTTGAAGAGAGGTGGCGAAAATAGTGAGGGTGCACCCTCGTAAAAAACCCACGCACGTACCTCACAAAGGCAAGGGTCCTCGCAAAGGCAAGGGTCCTCCCAACGGAAGGAACGACCTCGCCAACGTTGGCAACGTCGCAGGCTGGCTGTTATGAATAATAACTGAGAGTGCGCGGAATAATAATGACGAGTACAAGAATGCTCAGCCTAGCATTATATAGCGAGAGCTCTAGCTAGGCGACGAAGCCGGAGACCTAGGTTGGGTACAGGCGCGGTCGAAAGGATCGGAGGCGGCGCGGGCGTGCCTCGGGGTCGCGTCGGAAACGGACCGAGCCTGGTGTTCTGAGAGTTCGGGTGTACGCGATTGCAGTACAACCCGGTAAGGAATAAAATTCCTTACACTACCCCCCCTCTTAAGGAAGGTGATCAACATCGGGAACGCCTTTTCGGGTCAAATAAGATTTGAGCACCGAGTGTTCCTGAATCGAGTCGGAAGTGACCCAGGTGTCGTCTTCGCTGGTACGGTCAACCCAGCGGACAAGAAAATCCACGTGTCGTCCGGTGGAGTCGAGGCGAACGCGATGACTCAAAAGCCGGAAAGGCTCAAGGGTCGGTTCAGCCAGTGGGCGGACACTGGGGGCGGCCGCTGGTCGTGCGACTGCAGACGTGCTGGCGACGTATGGACGAAGCAGGCTGACGTGGAAGGCGTCATGAATGCGCCACTCGTCCGGGAGTAATAACTTCGCCGTGACAGGTGTCACCATCTTGACAATACGAAAAGGGCCACAGAATCGCGGGCGGAGTTTTGAAGGCAGGGGCAATCGAAGGTTCTTCGTGTCGAGAAGGACTAATTGCCCGGCCGTCATCGTAATATCGCGGCGATGAAGGTCTGTATATCGTCGAGCGGTTGTGTTGGACTTCCGGATGAACTCGGCCGCTTTATCCCGGGCAGCTTGCAAACTGGTCACGAACTGCTGGGAACGTGGTACGGGGTTGTCGATGTGGGTAGTCGTTGGGACGGTCGGATCCATCCCGTAGTTGAGGAAAAATGGCGAGTGATTGGTCGAAGCAGATGGGGCATTATTGTAGGAAAATTCCAGCATGGGCAGGAATTCTTCCCACCGGTCAAGGTCGGGGCAGTTGGTGCGTATCAGCTGCTCCATGGTTTGATTGGTGCGCTCGGTCTGGCCGTCGGTTTGAGGATGATAGGCGGAGGAAAATTGGAGGCGTGTGCCGTACTGGGCCCATGTCTCTTGCCAGAACTTGGACGTGAATTTTGGGTCGCGGTCGCTGATGATCGCTGACGGTAACCCGTGCAAACGAACAACGGTGGAGATGAAAAGTTTTGCGGTATCTTCGGCTGTGATTGTTGTGCGACATGGTGCGAAATGCGCCATCTTTGTGAGACGATCGACGACGACGAGGACAGCGTCGTTGCCCGTGGTGGTCGCCGGGAGTCCCGTGACGAAGTCCATCGTCACGTGTTGCCACGGCCGTTGGGGTGGATCGAGCGGTTGCAGCAGTCCAGCTGGCCGCTGTCGAGAAGACTTCATGCGTTGGCAGATCGGGCACGCGGATACGTATCTCTGCACATCAGACGCTGAATCAGGCCAGTAATAAAAACGGTGAAGTAACTTCTGGGTTTTGTCAACCCCGAAATGACCGGAGAGGTTAGAATCATGGACTTCTTGGATAAGTAATTCGCGGAGGAGTCTGTATGCACGAACCCAGATACGGTCAGTACCAGCTTTGAGGAAGTAGGGTCCTTTGGCTGTGGTGGTTTGCTGATGGAGGTTGCGGGTGAAAAAGGGGTCTGTGGTGTAGCCGTGGGTAAATAGGCCAGTGAGTAGCGGGATGGATTTTGCGACAAGGATGGATGCGAGGTGGGCGGATGGTCGTGTCAGTGCGTCGGCGATGTTATTCGCCCCACGTTTGTACGTGATTGTGTAGTGGAAATTGCTTTCGAGGAAGTCCAGCCAGCGAATCTGTCGCGGATTGAGGTTCGGCTGCGCACGGAGGTACTGTAGAGATTTATGGTCTGTCCGTACTATTACGTGGGCTCCCGTTAGGTAGCATCGCCACACCTTGAATGCGTGCACGATGGCGAGCATTTCTTTGTCGTGGACTGGGTAGTTGCGCTCGGCTGCCTGCAACTTTCTAGACTCATACGCGATTGGTTGGAGTCCGTCGCCAAAATCTTGTAACAGTATCGCACCGATGGCGAAATCACTGGCGTCCGTCAAGACTTCGAACGGTCGAGATGGGTCGGCGATTCGGAGGACCGGGGGCGACGTCAAAAAATTTCGCAGCTCATCAAAAGCAGTCTGCTGTCTCTCCCCCCACTCGAACAAAATGCCCTTCCGCAGCAGGTCAGTTAACGGTCCGGTTATCCCTGCCATATTGGGGATAAACCTTCGGACGTAATTAACGAACCCCAGAAAACTCTGCAGCTCCTGTAAATTCGTCGGCGGCTTCCAGTTGCGAATTGTGGTGATTTTCTTCGGGTCGATTTTGATGCCGTCCGCTCCCACAACACGTCCCAAAAATTCCAGCTCGGATTTTAGGAACTCGCACTTAGAGCCCTTCGTAATGAGGCGGTGTTCTTGCAGCCGCTGGAAAACTTTGTCGAGGTCCTTGAGGTGCTGTTCCTGTGTCTTGCTGTATATCAGAATGTCATCAAGGTAGACGATGACACACTTGTCGAGGAGATCGCGGAATACGCCATTCATGGTAAGTTGGAAAGTGGAGGGCGCGTTCGTGAGGCCAAACGGCACCACGGTGTACTCGTAGCTGCCATATCGGGTTTAGAATGCTGTCTTGTGGCAGTCATCAGCGAAGACTCGGATCTGATGGTAACCGCCGCGTAAGTCGATTTTCGAGAAGAAGCGAGCTCCGCGAAGTTGATCGAGAAGATCGTCTGCGCGTGGGATTGGGTAGCGAGACTTAATGGTTCGCCGATTCAGCGCCCTGTAGTCGATGCACATTTGTAGTTCGCCGTCTTTCTTTGGCGTGAACAGGGTTGGTGCTGCGAACGGGGACGTGCTGGGCCGAATGAACCCTTTCTCCAAAAGGTAGTCTAGCTGGCTCCGCAACTCCGTGAGTTCGGGTTGAGTCAGCCGCCACTGGGTCCTGACGGTAGGCTGCGCGCCGGGTTCCAGGTCAATTTTGTGGTCCTGGGGGCGCTCGAGTGGCAACTCTGCTGGCAGGTCGTCAGGAAAAATATCCGGGTACTATCGAGTCAGCGCGGCGAGCTCGACAGGGACATTGGCACAAATTGTGTCAATGTCCTTTGGCGTGTTGTCGACCGTCGCTTTGGCCAGGTGGACGGGGTACAAATCAGCTCCCCGTTTAACTGCTCGCTGGAGGGTGATGGCGTTGACACGTGTCGACACCGGATCCTTCCCACGCCAGCACGGAAGTACGCGCCACCCGTTCGCACTGTGCACGCTGCATTCGCCAGTTGTCCAGTCGATCCTCGGGTTGTATTTTCGCAGCCAATCACGCCCAACTAGAATGTCGCAGCCGTCCAGCGTCATGGCCAGCATGGGCATGCTGAATCCGAAGTCGTCGCCACACTTCATCCGCACCATGCGCGCTCGTTCGCGAATTGCAAGTGGAGTTCCGTCCACCAGTCGCGCGTCGATTTCGGGAAGACACTTTTCCAACGTCAGCTTCAACTACTTCGCTGTTGTCACGTGTATGAGACTATGGCTAGCCCCGCCATCCACAAATAACTTTTATCTTTTTGCCGTTAACCTTGCCTTTGACCAGCACAGGGTGATCTTCAAGTTCACCCCCGTTATTCGTCCGAGTGCGGTCGATAGCGTGTATCGGTACCACAACTTGGTGGGAACGTTGAAGTTCGGGCGACAAAGCCTCGTCAGTAGGGGGCCCGTCTGCTATTGACTTTTCCCATTTCCCGGCTTCTCCTTGTCGTTCTTCGTCTTCTTGGGCGCCGCCGGGCAGTACTTAGCTCGATGACCTGGCTTGTCACATCGAAAGCATAGCCCGTGAAATATTTCATCGGGCGCTGACACGCCATTGATCGTGGGGCAGGGAGACTATCCACGAAAACGACCAACATCCTTGTTGTTCTTTCTCGCCCACTGCTGCAGTGCATCGGCTGCTGACGCCAGCTGGACAGCCTCATCGAACGTCTTGGGATGGGACTACTGCAACTCGTATTGAATGTCGAAATGCAGCCCGCTCAGGTATTTGTCCCGCCTTTCCGCTTCGCTGAGGTCGTCGACTTGGTCCACAAGTGCCGAGAACGACGCAGTGTAATCTTGAACTGTAGTCACCTGCCGCCAGTTGCGCAGCTTCATGCGAGCGTCGTCTGAGGCGGATGAATGCTCAAAACGAGCTCGCAGAGCTGTGCCCCACTGTTTCCACGTGCGAATCGTGGTCGTACCGAATATTGTTTCTGCCTGTTGGTTTGAAGAGTCTGAAGTCCCGTCCTTCGCCTGCTTCACTCCTGCCGGAGTCCCAATCGCCAACTGTCGGCACCACCAATCCAACGCCGGTCCTCGAAGCAGCGATACAGCATAATTAATGCGTGCGTCATCCGTGTGTACATTTGTCGCCGTGAAGAACAGCTCCATGCTGAACAGCCACCCTTGCACCGTCGTCGCCTTGTCCGAAGGATTGAACGGGGGCGGTGTTGCGGGCTTGAGTTTAATCTTCGTTACGGTCACTGTGCGCACGTTGTCCTGCTCCAACTCTCGTGCGAGCTCGTCAAGGACGGTTTCGCTCGCGGCGTCGTCGGCACCTTGCTTGACCTCGTCTTCGGCGACTCCAGGCGACTCCTGACGCGCTTCACCACGCGTCTGGCGAAGCTCGGTGTTCTCTGTCTGAAGTCTCACGACTTCACTGTTCAAACTCGCCATCTGGGCCTGCATTGCCTGCATCTGAGCCATGACCTCGTCTAGCTGGGCCTGGGACATGATGCGAATGCTATGCCTTTCGGGCAGGGGGAAGGCCGTGGTAAGAAACCGTAGGGGGCGCAAACGCTATCGTAGTTGTGTGAGTTAATAACTCTAGCTCACGGACAACCGCTTTGCAGCCCCGCAGGGTTAACCACGCCTTGGAAATAAACTACCCTGAGAAAGCGGGGTGAACCAGGAAAGTAGCTCTGATACCAGATGTTATGAATAATAGCTGAGAGTGCGCGGAATAATAATGACAAGTACAAGAATGCTCAGCCTAGCACTATATAGCGAGAGCTCTAGCTAGGCGACGAAGCCAGAGACAAAGGCTGGGTACAGGCGCGGTCGAAAGGATCGGAGGCGGCGCGGGCGTGCCTCGGGGTCGCGTCGGAAACGGACCGAGCCTGGTGTTCCGAGAGTTCGGGTGTACGCGATTGCAGTACAACCTGGTAAGGAATAAAATTCCTTACACTGGCGATGCCCGGAACCTGCAAACACGCAAGTATGCAGAGTAGATGAGTGAGTTCGTATTCAGAATGAAATGAGGAACAAACACAACCAAGCACGCAGTGGAGCGAGGCGACAGAAACCTGGGGATAGGGAAACGGGCATCGAGTGGATGGGCTCTCCAGCCCCAAAACCAACTCTACCCAACACAACCTACGACACAGATAGAGTGAGCGAGTCTAGGCAAGAAAGCATGCGTGCAGGAAAGTACGCGTTACACCACGGAAAAACGAAGTGCACCACACTAGCACAGCTACACGAGCGTCACTCACGCCACCCTAGTACCCTCCCCCCCCCCCCCCCCCCCCCCCCCCCCAATTCCCTCTTGCTCAACTAACGACTATCCCCACCTCGTCGCGCGCACCAAGCGGGGAGCTGCTTGTGTTCCGTGCCATAGCTCCTAACCCTATTTATTACTCTCGTGACCTCTCTAGCCTGGAACTTTCGCTCCCTCCCTCTCCCTCACCCCCATTCTCGACAGAGCCTTCGTCGTGAGCTCTCACCAAACTACGGGCCATAAGTGCCTAGCTACGAAACCAGCACGGCCGCTAATCCCTTAGCCGTGCTCCTAACTACAGTTTCTCCGCACCACTCATGTTACTCCCCCCCGATTTCAGGTGCGCATATCTCCTCCTCTCATGCCACACCTAGTTTAGCCCTTCTCCCCATATCTGAGCTCACCTTCCCCCCCTCTCTGAGCTCACCTTCCCCTCCCAACCAGAGCTCACCTTCCCCCCCAGTCCGAGCCCACCTTCCCCCCAAACTAGAGCTCACCTGCCCCAGCCTGTCTGGGCCCCCCTTCCCCCCACACCAGAGCGGGACTTCCCCCCCTGTCTGCGCTCACCTTCCCCCCTTGACTGAGCTCACCTCCCCCTCCTAACCAGGTCTCATCTTCCCCCCTGTCTGAGCCCACCTCCCCCCCCCCACACCAGAGCGGGACTTCCCCCCCTTTCTGACCCCACCTTCCCCCCCTGTCCGACCCCACCTTCCCTTCCTGTCCGACCCCACCTTCCCCCCCTTTCTGAGCTCAAGAGAGTAGGAGAGCAGCAGAGCGAGAAGAGCGGGAGAGCGGGAGAGCGGGAGAGCAGGAGAGCGGGAGAGCGGGAGAGCGGGAGAGCGGGTGAGCCGGAGCGTGGGATAGCGAGAGAGCCGGAGAGCGGGAGAGTGGGAGAGCGGGAGAGCGGGAGAGCGGGAGAGTGGGAGAGCGGGAGAGCAGGAGAGCGGGAGAGTGGGAGAGCGGGAGAGCAGGAGAGCGGGAGAGCGGGAGAGCCTGAGAACGGGAGAGCGGGAGAGCAGGAGAGCCTGAGAGCGGGAGAGCGGGAGAGCCTAAGAGCGGGAGAGCGGGAGAGCGGGAGAGCCTGAGAGCGGGAGAGCAGGAGACTGGGGGAGCGGGTCAGGGGGAGAGTGGGAGAGCAGGAGAGCGGGGGAGTTGGGGAGCGTATGAGGGAGCGGGAGAGTGGGAATCATTGCATCCCACTTGCTCTTCGTGCCCCACCCCTGCTGCTGCTGCTGCTGTTGCAGCCGCTGGTTGTTCCCAGCTCACTTTGGTATGAACGAAATGACGAAAGGTTATATTTCAGTCGTAACTATTACAAAGACAACGCAGAAAAGGAAATGGCGGAAAGCCAGCACCCTATAGGGAGCACGTGGACACACGTTATCCTTCTAAACTAAGGTATAGTGGAGGCGGGAGAATGCCATCCGTTCTGCATTGACATGCGTATAGGGCAGGCGCAGAGGAGAGAACCTAGGGTGGGCGGAAGGCTTCGTTGAGGAGCCATGATTTACGGAGGTCAGGATGGATGGAAGGGGAGAACTCGCTCGGTAGGAGGAGGAAGCGAAGTTGTTTAGCGCGCTTTATTCGGTGGGCAGATCGGAGCTGTTTTTTCCTGGCCTGTGTAGTAGACCGCTAGATGAAAATTTTGCAGGAGAGTAGGAAGGCTGCGAGGACAGCGTGGAGACTTTCGAGCATGTGAGTCGTGATCTCGTTGAACTTGTGGTTGCAGCGGGCGTTCCAGATGGTCTTGGCGGCAGCTCCCACTAGCAGGCTCCATGGGGCTGATTGCCCGGCCCTGGTGTGGAGGGGAAAAAAGGATTGTACAGGGGAGATGCGGACACCGAGGTGGCGGGAAGCGACACGCTGGAGAGCTGCGGTGATTGGTCTTGCAGCACCGCACTCAAAGAAAATGTGTGTGAGGGTCTCTGTGACGCCAGCGGAGCAACGTGTACAGATGCCTCTGTCTGCGACGAAGTTGAAATGGGCACCAGAGGGGAGTGAGCTGGTGTAAAATCTGAAAAGGAGGTCCCGATGGAGGCTGGTTTGATCTTTGAGGAATTCGTGCGTGAGGTCAGGGAGGAGAAGAGGAGGGAAGGTAGGGAGGGCGGCGTTCCAACGGTCACGGTGTGTGAGAGGTTGTTGCACGTAGAGGCGGCTACATAAGTCGGCGAGTGTTGGTTCCCCGTCCTGCAGTATCTCTAGCTGCGCCCCCAGGCCTGCTCCTGTGTAAAAAGAGCCAGCCAACCAGCAGCCCCTTACATAGACTGCAGTGACGGCGAAGAGGGGAGGATGCAGGAGTTACCTGCCTCTCTGTCGATGTGGAGGTCTGCGTTGACGGAATGGGGGCGGGCGACGATGGAGGAATGTGGGCGGATTTCAATGACTTGATAAATAAGGGGGGGGATTCTGGCAGGTGGAGCGGTGGGGATGACCCAATCCCCGGTTTGGATAAGAGTTGATGCCGCCGCCGCAAGGGCCAGTGTATTCCACCATTCGTCTGGTATGGCATTTAGCAATACACGGACAATTCGTCGTGCACCGGGGTACGTGGAGGTGGGGAAGGCTTGGAGGATCTCGGGGTCAGAGAGCCTACGGAATCCTGTACCGAGGGGTTGGAGTACGTGGCCCAGCCGGAGTTCGGTGGTCATCCGGAAGCGCTCGTTTTTTCGTTTCCCGTAGGGACGACCGGATTGTTTGTGGATGTGACGGTTGAAGGCAAGGGGTTCTGCCAGCAGACAGCTGGTTTCGAGGCGAGGGGGAAGGATGGTGAGGTCCAAGGCCAAAAGGTCGTGGAGCTCTGCGCGTGCTCGGGGCGGGGTGTCAGCGGGTAGGGCGGAGAGAACTTCTTTGTGTAGGAGGAAGCTGTGTACGCCATATGGCAATGGTGAGCACTCCCTAGCTATAGATGCTGCTGGTGTAGGGACAAAGCGGCGAAGTGCCCGCTGCGCGTTTAGGGCGGTGATCTGAGCAGCGGGCTGGATTGTCCCGATGCCGCCGTGCCGGGTAGCGTTGTAGAGCAGACGGTTGGGCACGAGCCTTGTGGCTAGGCCGTGGTCTTTAAACCTCGAGGAGGAAAGGAAATTACCAACGACTGTGTTAAGCCGGGAGGTGATTGAGGGAGGAGGGGGTTGGAAGCGAACTGGGAAGGAAATGACAGAGTTCAGATATTCTGACGCCATGCGTTTGCGGCAGGTGGTGGTGCATCTAAGACGGGCGAGGTATCGGGCGGTGGTCTGGATTCGTGCCATGGTTTTATCCCATGTTGTGTATCCGGGTGCGTCCGGTTCGATGTAAATGCCAAGGATGCGTTCCGCAACGTTGTCGGGCTTGATGGGGATTAGGCTTGCCCCTGATATTTGAGCGGACGGGAAGTTGAATGGAATGATAGAGCATTTGGTCCAGTTATGATATTCTCCGACAACGCCGCGTACGAGAGCAGCGCGGTGGAGGCGGTCTGGAGCTCGTGGTTGGAGTTGAGAAAGATTGTCACATCGTCTGCGTAGCAGGCCATGAGCCTGCGTTGCAGGCGGGAGATGGCAAAGCCGGGAAGGTGAAGTGAAATATGCCTTCGGAATATTTCGATAGTACAGATGAAGAGGAGAGGTGCCAGCGGGGAGCCTTGCCGTACACCTGTGTGGACCGGGAATGTTGGGCCGGCGTAGTTGTTGACCGATACACGGGTGGTTATGCTGGAGTGCATTATACGGACCCAGTTTATAAAGGGGGATGGGATTCGTAAGTGGGCGAGACACGATAGGAGGAAGGGTCGGTCGATCATGTCGTAGGCCTTTCGAATGTCTACGGTGAGGGCGAGGAGAGGGAGGTGTCGGGTGGTGGCCCAATCCGAGAAGATCTTGAAGAAGATGGGGGTGAAGGTTATTCGAAAGCGTTTGTAGAAATCGGCCGGGATGCCGTCTGGCCCCGGGGTCTTTCCACCAGCGAGGGAGGCGATGCCTTTGTCAACTTCGAGCAATGAGAAGGGTGCTGAAAGTTGTGCTAGGTTGCGAGGGCATACTTGAGATGGGGGGATATGCTGCCAGAAGGTGTTGTCGTGGCTGATGGTGATGGCTCCGCTGTAAAGGGTTTGGAAAAAGGTGGTACAGAGGCCGGCCATGTCGGCCAGCTTGGAGGTCGTGGCTCCAGAAGCGAGCCGAAGTGCGGGAATGTGTGCAGCTTTACGCCGGGTGTTGACACCTGCGAGGAGGGAGGATATTCCCATCTCGCGATGGCCTTCTAACTTGATTTTGGCCTTAAGTGCGAGCTCGGCTGCACGTGTTGCTTCGTAGGTTTCAAACTGTTGGGTGAGTTTTGCGAGGAGGGCAGCTTGGTGGAGGTTGGCCCGGGGGGATGCTTGGAGGATTTGAAGGTGATAGATGCGAGTCTGTAATAATGTCGTGGTTTTTGCGACGCGCCGCCGCTCGTGGCTGGAGAATTGCTTAAGTTGGTTGCTGAGTTTGAGCTTCCAGGTATCCCATTCCGCGGGGGAAGGGGTGGCGGGTAAGGTTCGGCATGCAGTCTGGGCGACCTGGGCAATAAAGGGGCGTTTGAGGAAGGATGTGCTAAGACGCCAAGGTCTTGGGGCCATGGTGCGATTGAGGTAGCCAAGCTCGCAAGTAGGGCAGAGAGCATGGTCGGAGATGACAGACGGGATGAGCACATACGCGGCAGTGTGCATTTGAGCTCGGAGTAGGGGGGAGACGTATATGCGGTCGATACGTAATGCGGGGACTGGCGTGAGAGGGCGTGTGAGACTGGGACGACCGAAGTATGAAAAGAGGGTATTGTCAGGGTGGTGGGCACGGAAGGCATCTAGGAGATCGTGAGAGTGCATGAGCGATTGGAGTATGCCGAGCTCGATCCTTTCATGACCATGGAGGGGTCAGTTCATGACCCCGGGGGTTGTCTTTAAGGTCGAGATAGAAGAGCTTCTGCTCGATCTGGAGCGATCTCGACATCAGCTCCATCTCGTTGCCGCCCATTCCGCCGCCCATGCCGTTGCCACCAGGTGCTGGCATCCTTCCTTCCATCCCTCCTGCGATTCTAGAAAAAAGGAAGTCGAGTTTTTATGTTGGGATCTGTAGTAGCGGGTGTTTGGAGTAGCGGTAGATCTGGCTTTCGCCTAGCTGACGGTGATCCGCGGGAGAGGGTTTTACGATGCACCACCAAACCCTGCTTCGTTGGCGCGAAGTCCACGTACGGAACCGGAGTCACACCCCCTACCGATAACTACTGTCTCTCAGCTTCGCTCTCACCGCCGGAACCTACCCACTGGGAAGCGGCTGCAAGGGTATCAGAGGGAAACAAGGACGAATACGGAGCCGACACGAGACCACGAAAGATTCTAGGAGACGGTTATGATGTACAAATGAGGGAGAGGGGGGATGGAAATACTAGCACTGGGGAAATATCTTTCCCTCTGCACAATCGCGCAAACCCCCGCGCACACGCAGTGTCCCCCTTCCTCCCCGAACTTATTCTACCTGACCTGACTCCCCGGAACTACTGCACGAACCCAAACCTTCCCCAAACTCCGCCCAAACCCAGATCTCACGCTCGCGCGCTTTTTACGAGCTAGGCTGGCTGGTTTGGAACCGCGACGTGTCAGCCCACTGCCCGGGCCTCCAATTTCCCCTTGATGCCACGTCGGGTGGAATCATGAGGTTCGGCCTGTCAAACACTTGTATATCTCATGTTTGTATAGACTGTATAGGGTCATCTCTTAGAGAGTACAACCCTTAGACATATATCCTTGTACCCATGTTCTCTAAACTCATTATTCAGTTCTAAGATGGTATCAGCAGTAGGTAGGTCCCGCCCCCGCCCACGCTTCCGCTCTAGGACCTACCCGCGCCCTAGCCGCCCATCCTAGCCGCCCCACCTAACCGCGCCTGCGCGCCCGTCCTAGCTGCGCCCGCGCGCCCGTCCTAGCCTGCCCCGTGCTCGTCCTAGCCTGCCCCCTGCCCGTCCTAGCGGGCCCTCGAGCCCGTCCTACCGGACCCCGCGCCCGTCCTATCCGGCCCCTGTGCCCGTCCTAACGGCCCCCGCGCCCGTCCTACCTGGCCCCGCGCCCGTCCTAGCGGCCCCTGCGCCCGTCCTAGTCGACCCCGTGCCCGTCCTAACGGCCCTCGCGCCCGTCCTAGCCGGCCCCGCGCCCGTCCTAGCGGCCCCCGCGCCCATCCTAGCCGGCCCCGCGCCTATCCTAGCGGCCCCCGCGCCCGTCCTACCAGCTACCGCGCCCGTCCTAGCCGGCCCCGCGCCCGTCCTACCGGCCCCCGCGCCCGTCCTACCGGCCCCCGCGCCCGTCCGACCTGGCCCCCGCACCCGTCCTCGCCTGCCCGGCGCCCGCCGCTACTGGCCCTCGCGCTCGTCCTGCCGGCCCCTGCGCGCTCCCTGCCCGTCGATCTCCGGCCCTGTGCTCACCTTCCCGCCGGACTGCCGCCGATCTGCGTGCGGCCCGCTCTTCGTGCCGGCTACTGCACTGCACCCTCTCTGGTACGGTTCTCCATCACCTTTCACTGCACTGCACCCCACTGCACCGCATGGCACCGCGCTGCACCGCACTGTACCACACTGTACCGCGCTGCACCGCACTGTACCGCGCTGCACCGCACTGTACCGCACTGCACCGCACCGCACTGCACTGCACCGCGCTGTATCGCACTGCACTGTACCGCACTGCACGGCCTCATCTGGCCCTTCCCTACACTGTTTCTGATGGCAGCGGAGCTTCGCTTCGACGCTGAAGGCCAGCCTCTGGAGTTCGAGGCGTGGCTAGCCGACCTCCGCCGCCACCTCACTGGTCAGCGGCAGGATGGCCACTCGCTCTCGGCACACCTTGACGGTACGCTTCCTTGCCCAGACCCCCCTGCTGTGCTGCCCGCTGACCCCACATCTGCTGAGCACGAGTCTTCTGCGGCCGCTGCCCTTGCTCGCTCTGTCTGGCTTTCCCGTGACGCTGTCGCACAGCTTGCCATTAGCAATGCCCTCCCCCAGTCTGAGCGCCCTTGCTTTAGGTCTATCACCACCGCCCAGGCTTTCTTAGATGCTGTTATCCGGCGCTATTCCGTCCCACCTGCTGCCTCGGTGGGCCGTCTGATCCTACCGATGCTCTTTCCTGACCTTGCGTCCTTCCCCATTGTCGCTGACCTGGCTGCCCACCAGCGCACGATAGATGAGACCTGGCACGCTGCCTGCACTGACGCACAGCTTAGAGCCCACCAGCCGCCCCTTACCTCTACCCTCTACCTGCTTGCCACCCGCCTCCCTGACCGCCTTGCCGCTGCTCGTGACCACTTCCTTAGCATTCACCCCAGTGACCTCACCCTCGCAGACTTTGTAGACACCCTGACTGTTGTTGAGACCCGCCACCACTCTAACGCTCAGGCGAGCGGTACTGTGCCGGTCCCTATCTTTCCGGGTTGTGCCCCCCCTCAGTGCACTTTCTCCGATGGTTCTGCCGCTGTGGCTGAGACCGCCGCTGCAGCGCAGTTCCGTCCGGGGAAGGGCCGCCGCCCCAAGGCTGGGCGCGGCGGAGGAGGTGGGGGTGCAGGTGGCGGTGGTGGTGGAGTTGGGACGTCTGGTGGTGGTGCGGACGAGGGGACCCTGCCAAGTCCAGCTGAGCACCCGCCCCAGCAGCAGCAGCAGCCGCAGCACTCGCAGCAGCCGCACCAGCCGCCGCAGACAAGGCGGGCGAGTGCCCTCCCGCCCGGGTGGCCTGGCGCTGGTGGCGGTCGCGCGCGTGGTGGTGTGCCGGGTGGCGGTTCGGGAGGCGTGCGCTGTCAGTACCAGATCCAAAACGGTCCTCGCCGCGGCTTTGTTTGCGGTAAGATCGGTCACGTCACTGCCCGCTGTTTTCGTCGCCTGGACGACCTGTTTCGTCAGCGCTTCGGCCCGTCGCCTGACCTCCCGGACTGGCACAGTTTGCTTAGTCGTAAAGTTCAGATTTTTGACATGGACATGGATGCCATTTTTTCTGCCCTGCATGTGATGTATGCTGATGACTCTAGTGTGCTCCCCTCTTATAACCCCTTGTCGCCTAGTGTAGGTGTGCCTAGCTTAGCCTCCCCTGCTGCGTCAGGCGTAGGAGCTCCTGCTATGTTTAGCCTTGGTGCTTCCGCCGTCGCCCCGTCGCCAGATGCCACTGCTTCGCTTTCCTTCACCTTGGACTCTAGCGCTTCCCGGTGTTTCTTCCGCGACTCCACTACGCTGACGCCGCTTCCTGCTCCTGCTGCAGTTTCTCTTGCTGACCCCTCCGGCGGTCCAGTAGTCGCCCGCAGTTCCACCACCCTTCCCTGTCCGGCGGTTCCTTCGCGCTCTCTCGCAGGTCTGCATATCCCCTCGTTCTCCAGGAACCTAGTTGGTGTCGGCTGCCTCCAGGACCTTGGCGTCACCACTACGTTCCCTAGTCACGAACGGTATGCTGTCTGTACCGAGGCCACCACTGGTGCCCCCCAGTCCACGTTCCCCCGGGACCCGGTGTCCGGCCTGTTCACCCTGGACACCGTGACCCCCCCTGGCTGGGGCGCGCCCTCAGATGGCTGCGTCTTCCCAGGTTGCTGCTGCCTGCTCCTGTCGGTCCCTCACTCATCCGACTCTTCTGTGGCACCACCGCCTAGGTCGCCCTGCGCTCCCGCGTCTGCGTCACATGTCCCAGCACGGTCTCGTCCTTGGTCTCCCCGGTTCGTTTCCCGCTTTTCCCTCCTCCCCCGCCCCACTGTGCACGCCTTGTGTCGAGGGTCGGCTTCGCCGTGCCCCTCACTCCTCCTCGTTTCCCCCTACCGCCGCGTCGCTGCAGACTCTGCACATGGACGTCTGGGGCCCCGCCCCTGTCCATGGGCCGCGTCGAGAGCACTAGTTCATCGTGCTTGTCGACGACTTCACTCGTTACACCACAGTCTTTCCCCTGGAGCGGAAGGCCGATGTGCCTGACGCTCTCATCCCCTGGCTTGTCTCTGCCCGTGTCCACCGAGGTCTCCCTGTCTTGCGTCTTCACTCCGACCGTGGTGGCGAGTTTGACTCAGGTGTCCTTGGTCGCTTCTGTCGTGCGGAGGGCATCACCCAGACTTTCACCCTGCCGGACTCCCCACAGCAGAATGGGATCGCTGAGCGACGCATCGGTTTGGTCATGGAGGTGGCTCGCACCTCCATTATCCATGTCGGTGCACCCCATTTTCTGTGGCCGTTCGCCGTGCGCTACGCTGCTCACCAGCTTAACCTGTGGCCGCACCCCCAGCGGCCGCAGGTTTCGCCGACCCTTCTTTGGACCGGGTCTCCTGGTGACGCGTCTGCGTTCCACGTCTGGGGCTGCCTTGCTCACGTTCGTGCCTCCGGCACGGACAAGCTCACTGCCCGCACCCTTCCCTGCGTCTTCCTCGGTTTCCCCCTTGACGCGTCCGACTGGCACTTCTACCACCCGCAGTCTCACCGGTTCTTTCACTCCCGTGACGTCACCTTTGACAAGTCCGTCCCCTTCTACCGTCGCTTCCCCCACTGCGGTCCCCCTGTTACTCCCCCCTTTTTCCTGGTCACTCCTTCCCCGGTCGTCCCTGCCCCCCCCCTCCCCCTCCCCGTCCTGCCCCCTCTGGTGTGTCCCACGTCACCCCTCTCTTGTCGATTGTCCCGGTCGAGGAATCTTCTGACTCTGGTGGTCCTGCAGCGCATTCCTGGCCGTCTGCCCCTCCCCAGGTTTCTCCTCCTCCACAGCCTCTGCAACCGTCGTCGCCTCTGCTGTCGCAGCCGTCGTCTCCGCCGCCGCCGCACCCGTCGTTACCGCCGCCGCCGTTGCCGCTGTCGCAGCAGCAGCTCGTCGACTCTGGGGGTGCTCACGTTGGGGTGGGTGCTAGTCCTGGGGTTCTTGTCGTGGCCTGTCCCGGTGGCCCTGGGGGTGGTACCAGTGCTCGAGGGGTTTCAGGCTCTGGGGGTGTTCCTTCTGGGGGTGCCGGAGAGGAGTGTCCCGGAGGTAGCCGAGGAGCAGCTTTCCGTCCCAGTGTCGGTGTTGTGCTGCCGCAGCAGCAGTCCCCGCCAGTGTCAGCCCTTCGCCTGCTCGGCCTTCCGTCCCCTGACCCTACGTCTGTTCCTCTCCTCCCGTCTCCTCCTCTTCCGGTCTACGGCCCTGTGTTCCCACCGCCGGGCTCGTCCCCGACTCGTCTTCCCCCTCACTCCCTCCTTGTGTCCCCTCCCCTGTCTCCTGACCCGACGCCTCCGTCTCACGTCTGGTCTCGCCGTCCCTCCAGCGCTCGTCCTGTCTCCTCCGTTTCGCGCTCTCACCCTATGTTGCTTCGGTCCCACGCGTCTCGTTCTCCCCTTCTACTGTCCCCTCCTCCGTCCTCTCTTACCGTTGTGCCTCCTCCTCTGTCTGACTACCTTCGTGCCGCTCGTCCTCTTATTCCTCGGGTCCTCGCCTCTCTCGTTACCAACCCGTCTGTTCCGGTCTCGTGTCTTGACGCTCTTGTCGCTGCAGTCGCTGACTTCGCCTCTACGTGCCACCTTGACTACGCCACCGCTCTGGTCTATGACCCTGCCAGTCCTCCGTCTGTCGGGGGTGCTCTTGCCCCTGGCAGTGACGTCCTGGAGGACTGCCACTTCGAGCTTGCTTTCCTATCCGAGGCTGCTCCCCATCTCTGTTCCATGCTGCTAGTCCCTGAGGGTGACCCAGATGCTTTCGACATCCCGACCCCTCGCACTTACGCTGAGGCGACCTCGGGACCAGCTGCTGCAAGGGGGAAGGGCGCAATGGGTGTGGGGGTAGGAGGCGGGGCGGGGCAGGTATGTGCGCAGTACTCGCTGGCGGAGGTGGTGCAGGCGACGAGCGACTGGGCGGAGAGCAGGTGCATTGGGGGGGGCAGCTTCGGGGATGTGTACAAGGGCGAGTGCCCCCACAACCCCTCCCTCATCTGGGCCATCAAGCGCGCCAAGATCCTCACCAACGACTTCAAGCGCGAGGTCAGGAGGGGGGGGAGGGGGTTTGCTCAAATCCGTGTTGCCATGTCCTTGTGAGATGAAGGCCAGCGTGATGCAATGACAATGTCTTGATCTCTATCCTTCCCATCTGTCCCTTCTAGTACCACCCGAACCTGGTGCGGCTGGTGGGGTACTGCCTGGACTTCAGTCCTATGACTGAAAGGATGGAGCAGATCGTCATGCACGAGTTCATGGCCAATAGCGACCTCGAGCAATGGATCGGGCCCCGTAAGCACCTCCGTTTTCTCTCCCCCTTCCCCTACACCAACTTCTATCCCTCCCCACCCCTCCTCCAGCACCCGCCACCCCCACCCGCCACTCCCCACCCCCCACTCTCTCCCCCAAGTCACTCCTGTATTCTCCCTCCCCTCCCCCCCGTCCTTTCTAAGTACCAACCTTCTTTTCCTCCTGCCCCTATCCCGACCCTCTCCTCTCTCAGCCGTGCCACACCCTCTGACCATGCGGCAGCGGCTGGACAATCTTCTAGGCGTGGCTTCTGGCCTGCAGTATCTGCATGAGTTTGGCATTGTGCATCGCGACATCAAGCCCACCAACATCCTCCTCGATGACCACATGAAGGTACTTTTGTAGCCTTTTTCGTTCATGAGAATGTTATGAAACTCATGCCCCACGTTTTGTGCTGGTTATTGTTAAATGGAAGCATCGACTTTATTCCCCAAAACCCCAATAATTCTGGCAGGCAAAGATTGCTGACTTTGGGTTGTTAAGGTATTCGGAGGGTACATCTGTGGCTGCTACTCGGGTGATGGGAACACCTGGCTATGTGGACCCCGCTTACTGCAGGTCACAGAAGGCTACTCCCATGGCTGATGTGTACAGGTATGTGGACATTATGAAAGGACAGTGGAATGTGCTCAATCACAGCTCAGATCTACCTTGCTTCCCCAATCCATCGATTTCTCTTGAAGGCAGACTAAATATAGAAACTCTTGTGGTTCTAGAGCTGGGCTTCAGCATCATGAATCTGGAAGTGTCATCAGATCCCTCTTCCCTTTCCTATCCCACCAGTTTTGGCGTGGTGATGCTGACAGTGCTCACAGCTCGCAAGGCGGTCTTCAGCATGGAGGCAGAACAGGTGGACCTCAAGACATGAGTGGCTTCTCTTGTGGCATCTAATAACGAGGCAGCATTCAAGGACCCCCACTTGGAAGCCCTGGATAGGTTGGTGCTGCAGTTGGCTCGCCTGGCACTCAGCTGCATTGCCATGCCAACTGCATCCCGGCCTTCCACGAGCCGAGTGCTTGCCTATCTAGTGATGGTCGATGACGAGCACTTCGGATAGAAGGTTGATCGGATGGCAGCGCGAATTGACTCGGAGCTTGCGAGTTCAACATGTATTGGTAACTTTGATGCAGTGTTAGCTTGCATCGAGAACATGCATTGCAATACTATTGAATCAGTAGCGGATTGCTAGTATAATTGTACAGCTGCTAGTTGTTGATTGAGTCCATAGTTGTATTTCGTTATCCGGTTATACTTATTGACGATGACCACGCCTTTCGTTTTTGTAAGGCGTTTTTTCCGACGCTTGGTTCACCTCACACAGCCTTCTCCCATGATTGTATCGCGTCCAAAGGGATGTCTACCAAATTGTGAACGGCCCTTTCCATACCGCAACGGTTGGCTCCCTGATCCGAAAACGCAGGCCGTCTTAGAACTGAATAATGAGTTTAGAGAACATGGGTACAAGGATATATATCTATGGTTTGTACTCTCTAAGAGATGACCCTATACTGTTTATACAAACATGAGAGATACAAGTGTTTGACACACCCCCTAGACTGCATAGGGGCAGTTCCTGAACAAGTAGCTCAGGGCGGCACTACTTGTCCAGCCACTGAGACAAGGGTCTAAAGACCAGTCAAAAGGAGTACAGGCAAGGCAAGAACAAGACCAGGGCGGCACTACTAGTCCAGCCACTGGGAGAGGACACAAGTCCAGTCTGAGTAAATATATATAAAGGACAGTACAAAGTCAAGGCCCTAGCAAGTGAGAGGCTACAGGAACTAGACCGAGCTGTACACAGTGTCGCTGATGTTCTTTAAGCGCAAGCGCCTTCGTAAAGATATCAGCTGTGTTGGCACCTGAGGCCAAGTGTACTACGCGAGCCTGGCGGCGCTGTTGTAGCTCACGCAGGAGGAAGTACCGCACCTGGATATGCTTCGCTCTGCCCTCGAGTCGAGGCTCCTGACACAGGAGGATCATGGCCCTGTTGTCAGCGTACAGGACCGGGGCAGAGCTAGGCCGCTCACCTAAGTCAGTGAGCAAGAAGGTCAGCCAGCTGAGCTCCTGTGCCGCCATGGCACCGGCGTAGATATCGGCCTCACAGCTAGACTGGGCGACAGACGAGGAGCGGGTAGCTCTCCACAAGACGGCACCTGAACCAAGGCTGAAGCAGTAGCCCTGGGAAGACCTGAGGGTCTCGGCGTCGTCTGCCCAAGAAGCGTCTGAGTGTCCAGTAAGGACCACTGGCCTGCGCCCTCCTAGCACTAACCCCATGCCCAATGTACTTGCAAGATAACGCAAGACCCGCTTAGCGGCAGACCAGTGCTGCGGTCGGTGTCTACCTGTGGCTACAAAGCAAGCCAGAATGCTGAGAGGGTATGCGAGATCTGGGCGAGTGCAAGTCATCAGGTACATGAGGCAACCCACCAGCTCTGCGTAAGGACCACTGGGCTCTACTGACTCCTCAGGAATTGGAGCGGAGAGTCTGTGGTCTACCGGCAGAGGGATGGGCTGTGCAGAGGAGAACTGAAGGCCGAACCTCTGAAGGACCTGGCACACCAAGTGTGACTGAGTCAATGTGATGGTGCGCGCTGCTCTATCCCTGGAGATCTGCAAGCCAATGTAACGACTAAGCTCTCCAGAGTCAGTGCAAGTGTGTCTCTTCAGCAGCTCTGCCTTCACCGAGGCAAGTGCGTCCCTGTCTGCTGTGGGAAAGACCAGATCGTCCACGTAAACAAGGATGTAGAGCGGAGTCTGGCCAGCACGAACGAAGAGTGAGGGGTCTGCAGAGGATGGAAAGAACTGTAGGTCAGCAAGGGTAGCATGCAGCGTGTCGTGCCACTCACGGGGAGCCTGCCGCAGGCCGTAAACGGGACGCCTCAGGAGCCACTGGGTCCCAGGAGGGAAGGTGCCGGTGAAACCCTGAGGGCGACGCAGGTAGACCTGCTCGTGTAGGCTGCCCTGAACAAACGCAGTGGAGAAGTCGAGGGAGTGAAGCTCGTAGTCACGCTGAGCAGCTACGTGTCGCAGCACACGAAGAGTAGTCATCTTCGGGGTCGGGGCGAAGGTCTGATAGAAGTCCACCCCCTCACGCTGACTGAAACCTCTAGCCACGTAGCGCGCCTTGAACACAGGCGGCTCTCCAGGAGGGTGCTTCACCTTGAAAAGCCAGCGGCCATCGACTACGTTCACCCCAGGTGGGGGAACTGCGTCGACGTAGGTGCCGGTGGATCTCCAAGATGCCATCTCCTGCTCCATGGCAGCTATCCACTGAGAGGCCCAGTGTCGAAACAACTGCAGCCAATGCTGTTGCTGTTGATACTTCTGGCGTTCCTGATGTAGATGTCGATGCTGGCGTGGCTGATGCTGGCGTGGCTGATGCTGGTGTGGCTGATGCTGGTGTGGCTGATGCTGGCGTGGCTGATGCTGGTGTGGCTGATTCTGGTGTGGCTGGTGCTGGTCTTGCTGCCTCCCTAGGCTGGAGGTGTTTGGTTACAGGCTGCACATCTGCTGCAGTGGGACGATGCTTTCCCCTCCCTGCGTGTGTACAGTGTCCCTTCAGGGCTCTTGCTGCTGCCCTTTCCGCAGCTGCTTCTTTTGCTGCTGCCCTTTCCGCAGCTGCTTCTTTTGCTGCTTCTCCTCCTGCATCTGCCCGCGTTGAGGCGTCTGGTGTTTGAGCGTATGGCTTTGCGGATTGCGGGACTGATTCGGCAGGGGCGAACTGGTTCATAGTAATCGCTGCGTCTACTTTTGCCGAAGCTCCTCCCCTTGCGCCGTCTAGCGCTCCCCTTCTTGCTGATGCTCTTGCTCCTCCCCTTGATCCATCCCTCGTTCCTCTTGTTTCGTCTCCCGCTCCTTCCCTCGCTCTTCTCGCTCCCTCTCTCGCTCCGTCCGTTCCCCTGCCGTTGCGCGTGGGCGTGGCGGCCCTGCGCGTCGCACGTACAGAGCGTGCATGTTGAGGGGCGACGACGGGCACGTTCCTTGCCATTCATCCGATGATGACTCGTCCTCTCGATCTCTGCCTCGCCCCGCTCTCCGTCCTCGCAACCAGCGCAAGAATCGCGGCGTACGAACTCCACCTTCTCGTCGCGTTGTGTCTGTCTCGCTTCCCATCCTTCGCCGGTACGCAGATCCCGCTTCCCGCCAATCGTCTGCGCGGCACGACGACTCGTGTTTCTTTGAGAAAGTGTTTTGCTGCTCCTCGCCATCGCCTCTACGACTGTCTCCTGGGGTTGAGCCTTCGGTTTCGCTCCTCACTTTCCTTCAAGTCAATTTCCTTCCGCCTAGCTGGCCCTGCGGATATGCTCCATCCAGAGCACCAGCAGGAATTGTTGAGCCGCCTCGATATACGCGGCAGCGAGAACCATAACCGCGCAACAGTAACGGATTTTCTATACTTTTTTCCCAACATTTGAATGGGTATGTACGTGAATTACACTTTCTTAGACACCACGTGCTGATAATTGTTGGGTTTGATGAACGGGTCACCTTGAGGCAGAGGAGGGAGGGAGAGGGGAATTATTTACGAGAGGACACTGACTTCAAAGGAATCAAGGCAATGTAAGATGTGCATGGGGGTTGGAAGCATACATTTGTTAGAGGTACAACTAAGCCTTAGAAAGCAGACTTTTGTCACACACCCTTATAGTTCAGCAGCAGTCTAGTAGCGCATTATTAACACTAGAGTCCATAATGGAAAAGCATCAGCCTACGCAAATCTCAGTTCATTGCATTGCTTGAATAAGCACTGCTTGTCTGCATTCCTTCGATGCGGGCAAGCTCGACATTGAAGTCAGCATTCTCTGAGCCTCCAAGCTCTTGGTCAATCCGAACCGCCATCCTGTCGACCCTCGCCCCCAGGTACTCATCCTGAATCACCAGCAAGTCTCCAAGAATCCGACTCATGGATGGCCGGGATGCAGTGGGCATGGTCGTGCAGCTGAGGGCAAGGCGGGCCATGCGCAGCACCATGCTATCCGGTGCTTCCAAATACGGGTCCTTGAAGGATGCCACGTCATTGGATGCCACCAAGGGTGCCACCTGTTGCTCAAAGGTCAACACACAAGATGTTTAACACCAAAAGGCAAAAATGGTGATTCGGATGGAAGTTGTTACGTATTCAAGAGAAGCGCATGGCATTCATTACTTACCCATGCCTTGAGGTTGGCCATGTTTGAGTCTCGGTTCCAAACAGCTTTGCGAGCTGTGAGCACTGTCAGCATCACCACACCAAAGCTGGTGGGGTGGGGCAAGAACGATGACGAGCATGATGTTGAAAAACAGTGGGGGGAATGGGGAGCTAGAAAAATAGGAAGAGATGTAATTCCAATACAGATGGTATAGATATATGGCATGCATATGGTGTCCATTGTAGATAATGCATGTTGTACAGCATATGCCACATTGTTCGCACCTGTGCACATCAGCCATGGGAGTGGCCTTCTGCGACTTGTAGTAGGCGGGGTCCACGTAGCCTGGTGTTCCCATCACTCGGGTGGCTGCCACAGATGTGCCCTCCCCATGCCTCACCAACCCAAAGTCAGCAATCTTTGCCTGCCATGCAAAGGTATAAAGAGCGTATGAAAGGTGGTACGTATGTATTGCAGCAATCTATTCAATTGAAGCATGGGCTGGCGAAAAAAAAATCCCACTGACTCGTGTACTACCCCGACCTTCATTTTGTCATCGAGGAGGATGTTGGCAGGTTTGATGTCACGATGCACGATACCAAACTCATGGAGATACTCGAGACCACGAGCCATGCCTATGACAATGTCCAGCCGCTGGTGGATGGTCAGATGCTGCTTTGCAGCTGAATGCAGAAGGGAAGGTAAGGGGATAGGGGATGGGGATGTGGACAACAAGACGTGGAAATTGGGAGGTGAAAAAAGGATGGTGAGCGAGCGGAGAATGGAAGAAATGTACGGAGAGAGTAACTCAAAGGGCCCGATCCATTGTTCGAGGTCGCCATTGGGCATGAACTCGTAGATGACGATCTGCTCCATCCTCTCAGTCACAGGACTGAAGTCCAGGCAGTACCCCACCAGCCGCACCAGGTTCGGGTGGTTCTTCGTTGTCATCTCAGTCACCTGCCTTGCAACAGCAAACAGCAGAAAAACATGCTTGCACGTGGATTATGGCCATGGCCATAAGGGATATTTTCAGTGGGCAGGCTTGGTGGTTAGTTCAGCCGGCCCCCCTCGCCCCTCCCCCCCTCCCCCCCCCACCCCTGGGGCAAAATACCAGGACCAGAAATACTGAGTAGGTATACAGTAGGTATGGCATAGGTACACCTGCTACAGAGTAGCCCTGCTATACGAACAACTATACCTACAATATACAAGAGATCCACAATTTTGTGACGCCCTGACCTCGCGCTTGAAGTCGTTGGTGAGGATCTTGGCGCGCTTGACGGCCCAGATGAGGGAGGGGTTGTGGGGGCAGTCGCCCTAGTACACATCCCCAAAGCTGCCCCCCCCAATCCGCCTGCTCTCCGCCCAGTCGCTCGTCGCCTGCACCACCTCCGCCAGCGAGTACTGCGCACACACCTGCCCCGCCCTGCCTCCTACCCCCACGCCCATCGTGCCCATTCCGCATGCTGGTGTGGCTGATACGGCCTGCGCTGGAGCTGGACGGGTTTCAGGATCTCCGGTTACCTCCCTTGTCTGCTGCTGTGCTCTTGCAGCAGCAGCCGCGGTGGCGGCTGCAGCAGCAGCAGCAGTGGCTGATGCCTCTGTTGCTGTTCGTCTTTCAGCAGCAACCACGGCGGCGGTGGCAGCAGCAGCAGCAGCAGCAGGAGCAGCGTCAGCAGCAGTGGCGGATTCGCCTGTTGCTGTTGGTCTTTCAGTAGCAGCTGTGGTGTCGGCGCCAGCAGCAGCAGCAGAAGCAGAAGCAGTGGCTGATGTGCCGGTTGCTGTTGGCCTTGCAGCACTCGCTCGTTCCGCGTGCTTCCTTGTGTGCCCGCTGCCAAACAGAGAGTCCCTCCCATACTGCCCCTGCCTTTTTCGTTCCTGGTTGCGACTAGCTGTGTTACTAGTAGTAGCCATAGTACTCGCTTTCACCCCGGGGGTAATCTCATTGAGCTCCCCGGTTTTTTCCGCCCCTTGTTTCTTGGCCTCCTGGTTTGCCTTGATGCGCATTTTGAAGAACACGGCCCAAACCCACAGCGCGGTGAACGCCACAGGAGCGCCAATCGCGAGACCGATGATTATCCACGTTGAACCATCCGTTGTGACGAGTGATCTCCTCGGAGGCGTGGAATGATGATCAATAAGATGTAGCGTGGCTGCAGCAGCAAGGGACATGCCATGTGCGATTACACGAACACACAAGATGTCATTAGAGTACCATGGGGACCAGGTCTATGTGATATGAATGCGCGAGATGATGAAACCACGTTTTTTCTCGGGATGGGAAATGTCACATGATCGTGACAATCTGCACGAGATGGAATGAGAAGCGTTCTCGACGGCGGGGTAATACTCGCAAACAGCCAATTAGAACCGATACTGATACACTTGTCATGAATAGCAAAGTAGAGACTAGGTGGAACAGCCTTTGTGTATGTGGTTGTGCTGCACATTTCGAGGGCGAAGAACGAACCTGGGGCGTTGATCTCCTCAGCGAGAGAGGATGGTTGATGCCACATGATGTCTCGCAGCCCATGTGTTACTGCTGTTACGAGACGGCGGCCATGGGACTGCCGGATCAGTAGCAGGAATACGATGGCGAGGTATAGCGGCTAGAATCTCCTGCTTTGAGGCCATCGTCGGTTCAGCCTTACGTATTGTCTGTTTATGCGGGAAAATCACGTACATCAGACTGCGTCCAGTTGAATGCACCACAACTTACTACTCTATCGTTAAATGAGGTCAAAAATCTTGGATATCAATAGAGGCAGCAGTCTGCAAGAACTTCTTGAGCGGAGGACTTGAAGAAAGGACTTGTGTGGCACATGTTGGAGCTAGCAGAGTTGGGGGGAGCTGCTGGTACAAGAATGCGAGATAGGTAGGGTAGGTAGGGAGTCTGCCAATTCTGGGACATGCAGATCATGCCGAGCCGAGAGACACTTGCCCACAGGCATTGGGAATTTGGAGGGTGATGTGACAACGGGCTAGGGCGATAATGCATTGACCACTGCGGACGACCAATGTAGCTGCCAGTCGTTGACTTTCAGGACTCCAAGGTGGCAGCGCCAGCCTGCCATGTTCTCCAGGTGTGCGAAAGGACGGTACAACTGTTGCAAGTGTGTTACGTTTCCTCTCTCAACAAATGCATGGTTCCATATAATATCATGCTGAAATCGGTTATGTATCGGAGCTGTCAATATCGGGTGAGTTGTTCATTTGCAGCATTGTGACAATACTGATACTCGCGACCAGCGCGGCTCGCGAAGGTCCCACAAGATCACATTGCGATGCTGGTTTGATGACAATTCCTCCTTGCACGATTCGCTGTCCCGTCGAGCCGCTTCATGAAAATATTTGTTGCTGTTCTACACCCTAATAAAGTGGAATACAAGGTTTGTTCCCAGAGAACCATTCTAATGGGCAGCACAGGAATTTTGTGAGCTTTGCACCGTTGAAACCCCCCTACAAGTTTTCCCCTATGGTCACGGCAGCTCGGGACACATTGGGGTTTTTTTCTTTGGCGGGGGAGGGTAGGGGGGGCGGGGGGTGGGGTGGGGGAAGTATTGGGAGGAGAAGAGGGGGGTTGGGGGGGATTGATTTGAGCCGATTGATTCTCGCTACGGTATAAGCTTTGAGAAGCCGTGGTCTCAAGGACGCATCTAGGGCACACTCACCTCGAAAATCCTTGAGGTCATCCATCCGACATGCCCAGTGCCGCCATGAGTCCGACCCTGGCATAATAAAGCCTGTGACACGTTTTCTCGTTTCTTCTCATGACTGCGAAAGCTTGTCTTCTTTTGTCATTCATCCTTTCCTGGACCATAGTGTTTCACTCGAGAAATCCCTCAAAGTCCGCCAGCACACTTCACCCCGAGTTCGCTATCGTTTTTGTGCTTCCGCTTTCCATCCAATCGTAGCGCTATCAGACGGAAGATAGTCCGCAATGGCGTTTCGTGAGATACGGTTCCGCCTCTACTCAGCGCGGGGCGTCAAGAGGCCAGCGCCACACATAGCTATCCATCCCGTGGCGGTGGTGTCTTTGCCGGGCTTTGATCCTGCGACCTACCAGAGCAGGCGCATGGACGAGGCCTGCGACGACCCCAAGTGGGACGAGACGTTTTTTTTTCACATCAGAGCCGAATGCATTCGCACCGCCGCTGCTGTAAGTGCACGTCGTAACTCACCTCCTTCGACGACTTCAAAGATGGGATTTTTTCTCAGTATTTGTTGCTCTATCCTTGCATTCTCATCGACTCAGTTTTCGCCCAACACTCTCTCCATTTCTCTATGTCCCTACGGTTCGCATGTATCAGATCATCATTCAGGTCTTCAGCGACAGCGACCTCGCTTTCTACTGCGGCGCCGCCGCCGTCCCCCTCTCCATGGCGCAAGCGGAGAAGCACCGCCTTCCGCTCGTCGACCAATCAGGCGTCAGGAACGGGTACGTCAAGCTGTCTATCGCCATAAGCCAGCACATCGTCCTCGGCGCCGCAGCTGCTGGCGCAGACGGCGGCGCCATGGCCGCTGCCACCCATGTAGGACTGGCGAGCGCGCCCCCAGGAATGATCGCCGGGCCGGGCGTCTTTGTGCCACCACCTCCGCATTTCGGCCCTGGTGTCGGCGTTTACACGCCCGCGATTGGGCCTAACGGCTTCATGGGCATGCCCCCGCCTGTGGAGGAGGGAGCGGCGGAGGGATGGGATGAGGAGAACGAGGAGGCGGAAGAGATGGAGGAAGAGCGCCCCCCGACCCTGAAGAGCGCTGGGCGGAGCAGGAGCTGGGGGGGGGGGCTGTTCAGCGGGATCATGCGCCTGGTGCGCAGCAAGTCGGGGCGGATCGAGAGGATGGAGAAGGAGAACGAGAATGAGGAGGGAGACGAGGCGGGACAGGAGAAGTATGAGAGCAAGGAGTGGCATGGAGAGACGGAGGGGAACGTGGAAGGGGCGCAGGAGAGGAAGCACAGACGAGGAAGGAGCATTGGGAATTGGCTTGGACTGGGGGGGGATCATAAGGAGAAACAAGTTGACGTGGATGAGAAGGGCTTCAATGGGGCAGGGAACATTGACCGGACTGATGGTGGTTATGGGAGGGGCTGGGGTATGGGCTTTGGTAACACGATGAGTATGAAAATGGTTGCAGGAGCCACTGCTTGAAGTGGGTTACTCTGATTTCTAGGATTGTTTCGAGCTGTTCATATATTAGAGCCGCATGTATGAGATGCATCGTCGACATGCTTTGTTTGGTGCTCAATTCTTTGTGAACAATTAGTTTGTACTTCGCGTTTTAGATAGGCTCGACTGGTTAATATATAATTACAAGATGTATTCAGATCCCCCTCGATATTGTGTCGGTGGTCATGAAACTCCACCAATGAGCTTCGGCCTTGCTGACGGCGTTCAGCGCGTGCATGCCTGGTTCAAATTTCAGAGCCTTCAGCCAAAGCCCGACGGCCAGCTGTTTCTCCCGCCAACACCATCCCACCTGCCATTTTTTTACAACAGGAAGTGTGACGGCTCCAGCTTGAAGAGATGCCCGAAAATTTTGTGTCACCCCCTAGACTGACGGTTTGGAGAGACAAGATGGGCAAAACCGCAAATTCGCAATGAAACGAAACCTCTGATACTGTACAGAACCAGCCCGGCTTATGCTGCTTGCCAGTGCCAGCCAGCCCCGTCTGTCCCAGATCCTGCCGCCCCTGACCAACAAGCGACACACGAACATTTCGGCAGTCCGCGAGAAATTGTTGAAAGCCCTGTCAAGAGGGAGGGACGCATTGCATCGCATCATTGTACCACAAGCTTGCTTCTTCGAGCCTCCCCTACCCCACCCCCTCTGCTCCGTGCTTGATCCTCAGGATTGATGGCTGCCCCTGCTTGCTCGCTGGAGCAGTCAGTCAGGCCTGAACGTCAGTGGAATTGCTTCTGTAGCTGCTGGCGGCTGCTAGGCTGACTCACCTTCTGTTCTCCCTGCCCCCCAATGGGCCTAGTGTAGACCTCCAAGCGTTATGTTCAAACGTCGAGTCCTACAAGCGCTAGTACGACTGCCCGCCGTCGGAAACAGGGTATCGTGCGCCGCCAGCACTAGGGCTTCAAAGGTCAGCTTTTAGAACTCGCAGGCGCGAATCTCTGACGCATTACCAGTCGCCGTGGATGCTTAAGCCCTCCACCTGCGATCGCCATGCTTCATAGACCGCAAAGCAGTAGCAGTAAACGAAGCGCCGCCGAGAAACCTTGTGGGCGGAAGCAAACGGCTAGCAGTCCGTACTAACGGCGCATGAAAACAGATCGGCGACCTCGAACAGGTGCCCCATCAACAGTGGTCATGCTTCTGCGCAATTCCACGCTCCCGCTTTAGCTCGCGCTTTCTGAGCCAGACTCAGAACGAGCACCTTCACGAGCCATTACTGGTGGCACTGAGCGCTGCATTTCCAGAATTCTCCGATTCGGCCGTTGGATAGCCCGTAGTACCCCGCCGCCTGCCGCTACATCATGGCGCATCGACGCTGCGCCGCCCTCCTGCCGCCGAGCAGCTCGAAGCGGAGAAAAGCTCTACTTGTCGACCTGCGCGGCCGCGCGCCCTCCACGCACCTGCTGCTGCTGCTGCTGCTCGGCGCGTCTCTTCTGCTCTCGCCGCTGGCCCCGCCTCTGCGCGCGGATGCCGCCGTGACTGACGTGTTCAAGCCGTTCTGCGATAGCAGCAGCTATGTGGACCCTCCTCCCAGCGGTGCGTTGACAACGGCCGCCTTATAATCCACCATTTAACCAAGCTCACACTCTCCCCTACTAATTCGATTAGAGGAGTCCCAACCTCCTTCTCCCTTCCGTTCCGAGTCGGTTGTTGCCCCTTTCCCGACCCTGCTATCCGTCCTTCCCCTCCCCGATTCCCCCTCCCACCCACCCCGTTCACCCTTTCCCTCCTCTCCTCCTTCACCTTTCCCCCCGCTCGCTCCCTGTGCCTGCCCCTTTCCCCCGCGCTCAATCCGCTGAACCTGGCCGTATGCTGCGCGCGATCTCCTTCTCCGCGGCGCAGGGTGGAAGAAGTGGAGCGACCCGGCGACGTGGCCGGCGGGGAAGGTGCCGGGCGTGGGCATGGCGATGGGCGTGAACGCCACGGTGCCGTGTGGCGTGGGCGTGCTGCTGGACACCAACGTCACGTTGTACCTGCTCGAGATCAACGGCTGGCTCAAGTACGTCCGCGTCAATCGATCAGGCTTTGTTGCCACCTCCCTTGTTGCCACCTTGCCGGTTGCCACCTCGCCGGTTGCCACCTCGCCGGTTGGCCCCTCTTGCCCTCTCCCACCCCAACTTCCGCTCCCCGCCTCCTTGCCCCAACTCACGCGCACACAACATTCTCTATCTCCTCTCTCTCCTAACTGCTCCCCGCTTTTCCCCTCCCCATTCCCCCCTCCCCCACTTCCCCCCATCCCCCCCTTCCCCCTTCCCCCCCCTTCCGCGCGTGTGAGCGCAGGGTGGAGGCGGCGGGGCCGCTGCAGGTGCTGGCGGCGTTCGTGTTGAATCAGGGCCGAGTCACCGTCGGCACGGCGGACGCGCCGTACCGCGGCAAGCTCACCGTCAACCTAACCGGCGCCGCCAACGAGCTCACCATCACGCGGCCGCCCGCCGCGCCATACCAACCGCGCTCCGTGGGCGTGCGCGTCTTCGCCACCGTGGGCGGGCGCCTCGAGCTCAACGGCATGTACGGCAACGCGCCCGCCTGGACCACGCTCGCCGCCACGGCCGCAGCTGGAGCGACGAGCATCCGCGTGAAAGGGGACATGACGGCGTGGCCGGTGGGCGGGGTGATTGCGATCGCGTCGACGGATTTCGACCGGAACCAGGCGGAGAATTTCACGATCACGTCCGTCGCTGCTGGTGGGTGGCAGTGTCTCGGCCATTGAATCAGTAGCTCGGCCATGGGGTGAACATTCCACAGCCACTCGGATTGGGACGTGTCGCCGTTTGTCAGAGAGCTATACCAGTCACGATTTGATCCATTCCCACCGTTTTTATCTGTCCACTCTTCGCCCTCCCCCCTCCCCCCGCCACCACTCTCCTCCCACGCTGTGTGCACAGGCCCCGGCAACACGACGGTGCTGGGGCTGGGCGGCGCGCTGACGTGGATGCACTGGGGGGAGGCGGTGGCGGCGGGCGCGGCGGGGCTGGCGGTGGACGAGGCGGCGGAGGTGGCGCTGCTGTCGCGCGCGATCGTGATTCAGGGCCACCAGAACCCCGACGACCCGCTCATCGGCGGCCACTTGATCGTCATGCAGACCGCCGAGCGCCAGCTGATCAAAGGGGTCGAGCTCGTCAACATGGGCCAGCAGGGGAACCTGGGCCGCTACCCCATGCACTTCCACCTGTGCCAGGACGTGACTGGGTCGGTCGTCAGCAGCTGCAGCGTGCACGACAGCAATCAACGGTGCTACGTGGTGCACGGCACGTGGAATCTACGGCTGGAGTGGAACCTGGGGATCAACACCAAGGGCCACTGCTTCCTGCTCGAAGACGCCATTGAGTTTGGCAACACCTTCATCAACAACCTCGGCTTCCTGCAGGTGTGCTCTCTGTGCGCTCTCTGTGCGCTCTCGGCGCGCGCTTTCTGTGCTCTCGGTACGCTCTGTGTTTGTGTGTGTGTGCATGTGCAAGTGTGCTGTGCAGCCCGGCCCATGTGCTTCCTCGTTTCACATGCCTTCCATCTATCACCCCTCGTTGACAACATCTCTCTCTCACTCACTCTCTTTCTCCCCTCCTCTCACCCTATCCCCACGTCCCCCTCTTCCCTCCTCCCCTCCCACCCACCCACCCACCTCCTACATCCTTCCCTCTCGCCCGCCCCTGCCCCCCTGTAACCAGTGAAGCGCTTGCTGCAGCCCACAGACGCCATCCAAGAGGCGCCTAAATAGTTGTTCCCTCTCGCCCGCCCACTCCCATGCCTTCCCAGGAGCCTGTGAAGCGGCTGCTGCAGCCGAAGGACACCATCCCAACCACGCACTGACTAATCCTCGTACATCCCTCCCTCTCGCCCACCCGCTCCCCCTTCTAACAACCCCCCCCCCCCCCCCCCCCCCCAGGAGCCGGTGAAGCGGCTGCTGCAACCGACGGACGCCATTCCGGCCACGCAGAGCGACGACGCGCCGTCCACCTTCTGGATCACCAACCCCAACAACACGTTCATCGGGAACATCGCCGCGGGGTCGTTTGACTCGGGGTACGCCTGCTCCTTTCCTCTATATCTCGTTTCTGTTGCCTCCCCCTCCTCTTCCTCCTCCTCTTCCTCCTCCTCCTCCCCCTCCCCCTCAATTCCTCACATCCTCACCCCTCATTCCCTTTCTGGAATCCTCACCCCTCATTCATCCTCCCTGCGTGATAGTGCTCTCACTCCCTCTTTCCTCGTCCTCCCCTCATCGCTCTTCCAACATCACCTTCTTGCAAGCCCACCCAAACCACCAAACCTCCCGCGCTTCCCCTAATCTCCCTCAGCACTTACCACCTTCCCCTTCCCCAAACCCTCCCTCCCCCCGTCTCCTCCCCCCATCAACGGCACACCAGCTTCTGGTTTCAGTTGCCTGGGCGAATGGAGGGCCCGTCGGCGCTCTTCCCCAACGTCGTGGGCATGATGCCGTTCCTGTCCCCCCTGTCCCCCCCTCCCCCCTCACTGGACACACCAGCTTCTGGTTCCAACTGCCTGGGAGAGTGGAGGGCCCATCGGCGCTCTTCCCAAACGCCGCGGGCGTGACGCCATTCCCCATCCCCCTTGCCCCCTTTCTCCCTCTCCCCCCCCCCGCGCCTTTGCGCATCCCAGGTTCTGGTTCCAGCTGCCTGGGCGAGTGGAGGGCCCATCAGCGCTCTTCCCCAACGCCGCGGGCGTGACGCCGTTCCTGATCCCCCTGGGGCCGTTCGTGGGCAACGCGGCGCATTCCAACGGCCGCGCAGGGCTGCGCACATACCCCTCCGGGTACCGACCAAGGCTCAATGGGGGTGTGTCCAACGTGCAGGAAAAGTCCGGCATCAATGCGGTGAGGCTCGGTGGTGTGCGGTGCGGTGAGGAGCGGACAGGGAGATGCAGCTGGCTGGCTGGCTGGCTGGCCGGCTGGGTGTAGCTAGAAGGGAATTTCTTTGCTATCTGTGAGGCGCCTCAAAAATAGACTCCTCACGCATGGCTGGCCGGCTGGGTGTAGCTGGAAGGGAATTTCTTTGCTATCAGTGGGCATGACGAGGTTTGCGTGTTGAATGATTCTAGCTTTCTCTAGGTTGAATGGAGAGGGCTTTGTTGTCCCTGCATTGAGGTTTCTCAATTTCCCTGCTTGGGTTTGTTGTCCTTGATCCCTTGTGGCCGTTTAACTTCACGTTCTCCCCACCTGAACGGCAGTTGGGCAGTTGGGCAGTTGGGCAGTTGGGCAGGTGGACAATTGAACAGTTGGGCAGTTGATCAGGAGGTTTTGAGAAATTTCAAACACCCTCTCATTTCCCTACTTGGTTTCGTTGCCCCTGTATTCCTCCCTCCTTTCTGTTTTCCGACTTCCCTTGTGCCAGCCTCAGGTCAACATCACCATGACAAGCTTCCGCGCGTACAAGAACCAGTTTATAGGGTGAGTTGCACAGCACGCAGTGAGAGTTGATGGTGGGAGTTGATGGTGGGAGTTGATGGTGGGAGTTGATGGTGGGAGTTGATGGTGGGAGTTGATGGTCGGAGTTGATGGTGGGAGTTGATGGTGGGAGTTGATGGTGGGAGTTGATGGTGGGAGTTGATGGTGGGAGTTGATGGTGGGAGTTGATGGTGGGAGTTGATGGTGGGAGTTGATGGTGGGAGTTGATGGTGGGAGTTGATGGTGGGAGTTGATGGTGGGAGTTGATGGTGGGAGTTGATGGTGGGAGTTGATGGTGGGAGTTGATGGTGGGAGTTGATGGTGGGAGTTGATGGTGGGAGTTGATGGTGGGAGTTGATGGTGGGAGTTGATGGTGGGAGTTGATGGTGGGAGTTGATGGTGGGAGTTGATGGTGGGAGTTGATGGTGGGAGTTGATGGTGGGAGTTGATGGTGGGAGTTGATGGTGGGAGTTGATGGTGGGAGTTGATGGTGGGAGTTGATGGTGGGAGTTGATGGTGGGAGTTGATGGTGGGAGTTGATGGTGGGAGTTGATGGTGGGAGTTGATGGTGGGAGTGAGGTGGGGGTGGGGAGTTGATGGTGGGAGTTGATGGTGGGAGTTGATGGTGGGAGTTGATGGTCGGAGTTGATGGTGGGAGTTGATGGTGGGAGTTGATGGTGGGAGTTGATGGTGGGAGTTGATGGTCGGAGTTGATGGTGGGAGTTGATGGTGGGAGTTGATGGTGGGAGTTGATGGTGGGAGTTGATGGTGGGAGTTGATGGTCGGAGTTGGGGATAGCATACGGTGGTTCACGTGGGTACATCTAATCGTGCACGGAGTGCAAGCACGTGGCTCACATGGCTCACGTGGCTCACGTGAAAGAAGAGCGCACACTTTAACCACTACATGCACCACTGCAAGCTTAAACCACTACATGCACCACTGCAAGCTTGAACCTCTACATGCACCACTGCAAGCTTAAACCACTACACGCACCTCTGCAAGCTTAAACCACTACATGCACCACTGCAAGCTTAAACCACTACATGCACCACTGCAAGCTTAAACCACTACGTGCACCACTGCAAGCTTAAACCACTACATGCACCACTGCAAGCTTAAACCACTACTTGCGCCACTCCAGATGGGTGGACTTCAGTTGCACCAACCGCACCCCAATCCTCTGCACCCTATCCCATCCCATTCCATGCTATCCCTTCCCTTCCCTTCTCCCCAGCATGTTCATCCACAACTCTGACGGTGTGCACATCAGGGCGCATTTTGAGTGGGCTAGAAACACACCCATCCCACACACATTCTTCTCTGCCCCATCCCATCCCGCCCCCTCCCTTCCCTCCCCCCAGCATGTTCATCCACAACTCTGACGGTTTGCACATCAGGGGCGCGCAGGTGGCAGACAATGCAGTCGTGGGCATCGAGCTCAACCGCGACCAGGCCGTCGTGGTGAGGAGAGGGGGAGGAGGGAAGGGGGGAGGGAGGGATAGCTCGCAAGAGGGGAGCATCTAGAGGCTTGCTGAAGTGGGCATTGAGCTCAACCGCGACCAGGCTGTCGCAGTGACAAGAAGGGGGGGGGGGGGGAGAGAGGGGGTAGGAGGGAGGCAGAGAGCTTGCAAGAGGGGAGCAGTCGGAGCGTTTATAGGAGAGGTGTCTGTAAGACTAGTTGCACATGCGCGCGCGGGGAGCAGTGGACCGGTTATGCGTCTGTGCTGTCCTGCTGTCCTGCTGCCCTTCCTGCCCCTGCTGCCCCTGCTGTCATCACTTCCCGAGTCTCACTTCCCGAGGTCTCACTTCCCAAGGTCGCACTTCCCAAGGTCTCAATTCCCATGGTCGCACTTCCCTAGGTCTCACCCAGATGCCCTCGCCGCCCATGCTGCCCATGCCGATGTCCGCCCTCCTTCCGTCCGTCGCTGCTTCATCTCTCCCTCACAACCTTTTCACATCTCTGACTCTGTGTTTTTACGCGAGTCAACCAACATAGGCAACCCCGCCTGTGTGACAACCCCAGCAACACCTTGCATCTGCCCCTCCCATTTACTCACTCATCTCTTCCCCCTCTCCCCCCCTCTTCCCCCCCCGTGTCCACCCTTCTTCAGATCTCGAACTCTGTGTTTATAGGCGAATCGGCCAACATAGGCAACCCCACCATGTGTGACAACCCCAGCAACAACTTTGGCGGCTGCAAGGCGCTTGCCTCCGCTGGGGTCTGCGACCTGCCCCTGCCGCTAGCCAAGGTGGGTAGGGTAGCAGACCTTGTGTGAGGGCAGCAGCGCAGTGCAGTGCAGTGCAGTGCGGTGCAGTACTGTGCTGTGTGGGTGCAAGGGCGAGTGCACGACTGCATTGCCTCAGCAAGTGCACACTACTGCATTCTTGCCAGGCCCTTACCAACTCGTCCCTCTTGTCTTCCACTTGTGTTTCTTTTCCCCTTCTATTGCGTCCCCTTGTCTTCTTTCCCCTTCAATTCATTCCCCTTCTGTTCTCCCCCTCCCCTCCCCTCCCTCCCCTGTTTTTCCCAGGCGAGGTCCAACAGTCGCACAGTGAGCCGCTAGCCAAACCGCTCGTCCCTCTTCTCTCCTCCACACCCTCCATTCCCCTCCCCTGTGCCCCACAGGCGCGCTCCAACAGTCGCACAGTGAGCCGCAGGCCAAACCCCATCCTAGCTCTCTCTCTCCTCCTCACTCCTCCCTCCACACCCTCCTTTCCCCTCCCTGCCTACCCCAGGCGCGCTCCAACAGTCGCACAGTGAGCCGCTACGCGCCCAAGTACGGCATCCTGATCGACCAGGCGGACCCTCCCGCGCACGGGTGGACCATGGGCGTGCCACACCGCATTGTCAACTGCTCCTTCTCCGGCTTCTCCAACCGCTGCCACCCCGCTGCTGCCATCTCACGTGCGTGCTCTCGAGTTTCCTTCCCGTACTCTCGAGTTTCCTTCCTGTTCTCTCGAGTTTCCTTCCTGTGCTCTCGAGTTTCCTTCCCGTGCTCTCGAGTTTCCTTCCCGTGCTCTCGAGTTTCCTTCTTGTGCTCTCGAGTTTCCTTCCCGTGCTCTCGAGTTTCCTTCCCGTGCTCTCGAGTTTCCTTCCCGTGTTCTCGAGTTTCCTTCCCGTGCTCTCGAGTTTCCTCCCCGTGCCCTTTAGTTTCAGTTCCCTGTCTTTTCATCTGGCCTGCCAACGTGTTCGCTTCTCGTTTGGCTGCGCCAAAAGGAGGTGCCTCCTTCAGGCTGCGCCACCACAGCACACACCCCCGCCCAATCCCCCAACCCCCACCCTCCAAGCCCCAAACCCCAAACCACCACCAGGCAACCGCCATGCAGCGTACATGTGGCCGCCCACCTACAGCAGTGCTGCGCCTGCCCTCTCTTTCCATGGATCAATCTTCCCCTCTTCGTTTCTCCCCAACCACACTCCCCTTCCCCCCTCTCCCCCACCAGCCAACGGCCATGCAGCGTACGTGTGGCCGGCCACCTACACCAGCGCCGCGCTCACTTTCCCCGACGCGTCCCCCGCGCTCTACCTGGTGCCGCGCAGCCGGGGGCAGCTGGGCTTTGACGGCGGGTACGGGGACGCGGGGCCGCTGGCGGGCACGTACGTGTGGCGGGACGAGGACGGGTCCATGGTGGGGGGGAGCGGTGGTTTCGCTGTGGCTAATAACACCGCGCTGCTGCCCGCTGGAGATTTGTGCACTGCGGTGAGTGGCGGTGGTGAGGAGAGAGGTGGGGGAGGTCGGGGGGTGGGGCGAGGAGAGAGGGGGGATGGGGGGGTGACGAGAGGTTTGTGAGAGAGTGGGAGCGGAAGGTGCAGTAAAGGAGCAATCACAGCCAGTCCTTGAGAGATTTTATGGAATTCTCAAAGAACCCTTTCCCCAACTCCCCCTCCTCCCAATCCACTCACATTCGCCCCCTCCTCCTCTCCCCACCTCCCAGAAGCCGGAGTGGAACGGGTATGCCTGCCCGGGCACGTGCTACCGCACTGTGTCCATCGACGGGGGCAGCGCGGGCTTCACTCTCGTCCCAGCCGGAACGACCAACAGCAGCAGCAGTGGCAGCAGTGGCGCCGGTAGCGTATCGAGCAACGGAGCGCAGTTTGTGAACGTGCTGGCAGGGAGGGGCTATGTGGTGAAGCCTGGGGGCAGCAGCGCTGCCCCGGCGGATTACACAGTGTCGTATGCGGATGGGGGGTTTGGGTGTAACTCCCCGGTGGTGCTGCAATTCCCGCTGCCGCGGGCGGGGTACACGTGGCAGCTCACTCCGTCCGATGACATCTTCTGGCAGTAGGTGCAGGGGCGGGGGAGGGAGAAGGATCCAGCAGGACAGAAGATGTCTTCTGGGTGGGGGAGCGTACCAGAGGCGGAAAGAAGAGAAGTGGAGAATGGGGGCATTTGGGAAGGAGGAGAAGTGGGAAGGGATGTGGAGGATGATGGGAACAAACCGCAAGCGTATGCCATCACTTCTCCCCTTATCAGTTCCCTTGCAATTCCTCGCCCCACTGTCTCTGACTGCTCCCATCCCGTGCACCTCTCCTCCTCCCCCCCTTTCGCCCTCCACCACCAGAGCATGCAGGGGGGTGACTCTGCCTTACGCCAGAATCGCCATCCGTTTCCCCCCAACTTCTCCCTGTCGGTTCGTTGCGTCCCTGACATTCACGCCGTCCTTACCCCTTACCCTCTCCCTCCACCGCCTCCTCTCTTTCCCTCTCCTCGCCCTCCACTGCCAGAGCATGCAGCGGAGTGACCCTGCCCTACACCAGGATCGCCCAGGCGCAGTGGCTGTGTCTGGACGCCGCCCCCGTGCTGCAGATCTCCCTGGGAGCCAACTCCTCTGCCACAGTCGTCCTCACGCAGGTCCCTGGCAACTTCTCCTGCCTGCACATGTGAGTCGCCCATCCGCCTCGCACGCTCTCCCCCTCGTCTTTTTTACCTCCTTCCTCCCAGTCCACATCTCAAACCTTCCGCAAAACCCTCTGCCCAACCCCCTTCTCACCCATCCCGAACCAGCCAAGGCTGCATCACCACATTACCTCTCCCCCAATCCCTAATCCCCGATCCCCCCTCCCACCAGCCTACGCGGCATCCTCCTGCCCTCCTCGGCCACCTTGCATGGCAGCAGTGCCATGCAGTACACCGTACGCCCCCGAGTCCCCCACGTCCACAAATCGTACTATTACATTCTTTGCCACATAGAATGCCATCGACGCCATGCGGCACTCTCTTCTGTCCCCCCTCCCACCAGCCAATGCGGCATCATTCCACCCTCCAGCAACTGGAGCTACAGCGACGCCATGAAGTACCCCCCTGAGTTCCTCGCGTACGCGCCACCCGCCAAGTGGAAGGTGGCCAGAGCACCATTTGGGTACGGCGGGCAGGGCGAGGTCACCACCATCGCACACGCAGGGCCGGTAGGGGCTCCGGTAGGGCCTTTTGCTCTGTGCTCTGTGCTCTGTGCTGCTCTGTGCTCTGTGCTGCTCTCTGCTCCGTGGTGCTCTGTGCTCCGTGGTGCGTGCATTCTTTCCCCATGCTGCGCGTCGTGGGTGCTTGCATCCTCTGCTCTGCTCTACCCCCCCCCCCCCCCGCTTCACCTGCCCCACTGTTGGTACTTCCAAGCATAGTTCACTTTCAAGTACCCTTCCTCCTTTGCCCTTGCCTCTTCCCCACCACTATCTCCCCCCCGGGTCCTGCATGCATCCCCCCCCACCCCATCCCCCATCCCCCATCCCCCACCACCCCATCCCCCGCCCCCCATCCGCCATCCCACAGGGTGCCCTGGCGTGGTATTTCCGGGCGTCATTCACGCTCAAGTACGCGGGGTGCTACCGCTCGCTGCTGTTTGGGTACAAGGCCAGCGACGGCATCGTGGTGTATGTCAACGGCGGGGAGGCCTTCCGCTCCAACATGCCCGCCACCAAGCCTGTCACTGTCGCCACGCCGGTGAGTGCTGGGGAAGGGGGGAAGGTTGTGCGAGTCGGATTACCCTGGCTGTCTGCTTGCACTGTATCTGTCACTGTCGCCACACCGGTGAGTGGGTGCTGTGGCGATGCCTTTTGAGGCGCCTCAAGAGCCCCCACCCCTGTCACTTTCGCCTCGCCAGTGAGCGGGTGGTGCTTTCGTGCCTGCCCATGCAGGGCTAGGTGTGGGCTTCCGATTGCAGCAATTGCTGCAGATGTGTTTCATGCGTTAGTGTGTGCGTGCATGAGTGAGTGGTGGTGGCTCGGGCGTCTGGTTCGGGGTGAGCTGTGGGCCAGGATAGTGCAGGGTGTCACATACTGCTAGATGACTGCATTGGAGTGCTTTCCTTTCATCCTCCTCTCCCCCTCCCCCCTCCCTCCCCCCACTCCCCTTGTTTAGAAGCACCAACAACTCCTGTGATGTCCCATACGGCAGGCTGTCATGGTTGCGAGTCCCTCTCCCCTCCTCCCCTTGTACAATGAGATGGTGTCGCCCCCTGGTTCAACATGCATATGCAACGAAGGTGCACTTCAACTCGCCCAGCTAACACCACCTAACAAATTCCCTCCCCCTCTTTCCCCCTCTCCTCCCCTCCCCACGCTTCCTTCCCTCCTGCTACTCTCCCCCTACCCTCCTCCCTCCTCCCTCCTCCCTTCCCTCTCCTCCCTCCTCCCTCCTCCCTCCTCCCTCCTCCCTCCTCCCTCCTCCCTCCTCCCTCCTCCCTCCCCTCTCCTCCCTCCTCCCTCCTCCCTCCTCCCTCCTCCCTCCTCCCTCCTCCCTCCTCCCTCCTCCCTCCTCCCTCCTCCCTCCTCCCTCCTCCCTCCTCCCTCCTCCCTCCTCCCTCCTCCCTCCTCCCTCCTCCCTCCTCCCTCCTCCCTCCTCCCTCCCCCTCCCCCCTCCTCCCTCCTCCCTCCTCCCTCCTCCCTCCTCCCTCCTCCCTCCTCCCTCCTCCCTCCTCCCTCCTCCCTCCTCCCTCCTCCCTCCTCCCTCCTCCCTCCTCCCTCCTCCCTCCTCCCTCCTTCCTCCGCCCTCCCGCCTTCTCCGGTTGTTCCACCCCCCCCCACTTCCAAACCCCACCTTACCCTGGTTCAGGCCGTCATGGATGCGAGTCCGCGCGCCCCCTGGTCCACGGCCATAGTATCAGTGAGCGAGGTGCGGGTGATGTCGGGGCGCAACTCCATCATGGTGGAGCTGCATGCCACACAGGCGTACGCCTGGGAAGTGCACTTCAACATGTGGGTGGCTGCCGTGGGCTCCAGCTGCCCCCTCACCCGATTCTTTGACCAACGCTCATCGCTCGCGTTCAGCTCCGTTCTTGGGGGGGCTGCTGCTGCTGCCGGCAAGTGAGAGGAGAGGAGAGGAGAGGAGGGGAGAGGAGGAGAGAGGAGGGGAGAGGAGGGGAGAGGAAGGGAGTGGAGACGAGGGGAGGAAAGAGAGCAGGCTTCGCAATTTTGCTCGATTGTTCAACTGTCTAGAGCGCTTCTGGGAGTCTTGTGGAGCCAATACCCCCTTGGCTTAGGGCACTCCAGGAAATGATTCTACAGTGTTTCTGGCAGCATTGCCCTAGAGGTTGGCTTCGCTGGAGTGTGTACGGAACTTAGTTCTAGTCTTAGATCTACTCTTAGGAGGCTTGCTGCGGATCGAATCGATCGTTTTCCCATTGGGTACATGATTGATGGAATAAATGAGGGTGCTTTCAGGCGAATCATCTCAGAGGAGACTAGAACAGCGAAGGACAGAGCAGGGTGTACCATACCGGTAGCTCTATCAAGACCGCTAATGGATGTAGCTCCATAGAAAGGACCCGCAACAATCTCCCACCCAGAATGCCAACTACCCCTGCCAGCCACCGGTTGAAGCCTTTACTGCTGAAACTAGCACGGCGCCTGAAATTATTTACCGATTTTGACTTGTTGAATTATGGCATTATCTCACTGCATTTGACTAAGCTGTATCCGGGTCTGCACTAGTGTTCTGGAAAAGGTACTGGCAAATAATAAAAGGTACGGGTACAAGCAGCGAGGAAGCACCCAGATATATCCATGTGACAATCAGCACGTGACGCCACATCTATATACAGCTGTAGCATCCAGCAACAGCCAATGCTACAGCCAGCGCTACAGCTAGAGAGAAGGGCCCAACCCCCACTACCCACTGTTGCAATAATAAAGGAGAAGGGAAAGGAAAGAGAACTACCAAATAAAGGGGGGAAAGGCTCCCGAAGTAAAGCAGAGCACCAGCTGGACGCTGGCAATATCCCTGGGAGTGACAGCAGAGTTCGAACTGCGGCTGGGCTGGGAGCATAGGTGAGCGCCAAGGAGTTAGCATGGAGTGCACCAAACGTTAGACCAGAGGCAGGGAATCAGGCTACTGCTATACGCAGCAGGTGTTAGTGAGAAGCAGGAGTCGGGCAGGCAGGAACTCCAGGGGGCAACGGGTGCAGCAGCGAGTGGGGAGCGAGCGAGTGAAGTGAGGTAGTCAGTCTTTCAGCTCAGCTCCCGCAGGCGAGGCACTCGTCGCGGTTCTCGAGGGAGCAGACCATGGCTGCGAGGTTGAGATCTAGGCTGGCTGCCTTCTTGGTCGCCACCACCACATCCAGCTTCCCCTTCTCCTCCCGCCCCGCCTTCTCCTGCGCCTTGCTCGCCTGGTGATTAGAGGGGAACCAGTAAAAGCAGGAGAAGTGCGAAGTGAGGGGGCGGGGAACGCATGCTAAGAGGGGCCACTGTCCCAAGGCAGCAGACAGAAAGCAGCAGGGCAAGAGCAGAGCAGAGCAAGTGGAGCAGCAGCTGACCTGCACTGCCACAGCGTCCACGGTGAACTTGATGGCGTCCGCTGCGCTGCGAGTGCGCAGGTAGTACATGCCAGTCTTCAGACCCTGCTCGCACACACACACACACACACACGCTCAACCTGCTGAGCCTCTACCCAACAGGCAGGTCTAGAAACCTCCTAGTCAAGTGCACGAGCAGAATAGGCAACAGCAGCAGCAGTAGAATGAGTGGGTAGCGCACCTTGGACCAGGCGTAGAAGTGCAGCGAGGTGAGCTTGCCGAAGTTGGGCGTGTCCAGGTGGATGTTGAGGCTCTGGCTCTGGTCTATGAAGGCACCACGCGTCGCAGCTAGGTCCACCACCGCACGCTGCTTGATCTCCCACACCGTCCTGCCAACCACAGCACAACACGTGGACAAGAGCACACAATCAGCAAAAGCAACCACAGCAACAGCAAGCGCAGCAAGAACCTTAAACCCCGGACATCCTGCACCAGACATCCTTGTCTGCCGCATTCCACATTCCTGTCCCCCAAGCAGCCCCTCAAGGCCCGGCAGCAGTCACTCACTTGTAGATGGGTTTGAGGTGGTTGGGAATGGCGGCGATGCCCTCGATAGATCCGTTGTGGTAGATGAGCTCGTTCTTGAGCGCGGGCGTCCACAGCCCCATGCCCGTCAGGTCGCTCAGCAGATGCTTGTTCACCACCACGAACTCGCCACTGCACGTGCCAACGGGGCGAGGCAGGGCGGGAGAGACATGCAGGAATGGGGTCAGTTGGGGAAGAATCCAAAGATCGGAACAGAAGCAGAATCCACTAGGCGCCGAACTTGCAGCTGTTAAACCCGGGCAAGCAACACAGCGAGCAGGCAGCGCCACGCACGCACCTGAGCACGCGGCGGGTGTAGATGTTGGACGTGTACGGCTCGAAGCACTCATTATTCCCCAGGATCTGGCTCGTCGACGCCGTGGGCATGGGCGCCAGCAGCAGCGAGTTGCGCAGCCCCACGCGCGCAATCCGCGCGCGCAGCTGCGCCCAGTCGTGGCGCTCCTGCGTCAGCTCCACGCCCTCCCACATGTCCGGCTGTAGCAGCCCCTTGCTCATGGGGCTGCCGTCGTACGTGAGGTACTTGCCGTGCACCTCCGCCAGCTCGCATGACGCCTTGAGCGCGTGGTAGTAGATCGTCTCGAATATGTCGCGGTTCAGCGCGTTGGCCTGGGAGAGTGGGGAGAGAGGGGCAAGAGAGGCGAGAACAGAGGAGAAGCGTGTTGAGACGAGAGGAAAGCGAAAAACGAGAGGCGAGGGAAGCAGGGAGGCAGAAGTGGTGGAAGAAACAACCGCTGTTTCCGCTTCCGAATCCCCGGATAGTGCGGAAATTGAGCACCCGCAGTAGTTCGAATTTGAACGGAGGCAAAGGGAGGAGAAACCAGAAAAAGGGGTGATGGGGGAAGTGGGGAGGAGGGTCGGGGGGGAGGACTGCTCTCACCTCGGCGGAGTCGAAGGGCATGCCGAGCAGGATGAAGACATCAGCCAGGCCCTGGACGCCGATGCCGATGGGGCGGTGGCGCTCGTTGGAGAGGCGAGCCGAGTCGGTGGGGTAGTAGCTGACGTCGATGACGCGGTTGAGGTTGCGCGTGATCACCTCCGTCACCTGCCCCAGCTTCTCAAAGTCGAAGAACCGCTGCCCGTGGCCTCGGCTGCCGATCAGCTTCACGTCCGCCGCCAGGCCCTGGCGGTAGTGGAACGACACAGCGACAGGGAACGTAAGAGGGTGTTGTGAGCATGAGGAAAAGAGCATGAGTGGTTGTGATGGCGAGAAAGGAGACGCGCAGACGGGGAGGTAAGACAGCCCGCGATCGACCGGGTTCTGGGAACCCGAATGTAGCAGCCGGCGCGGCTGTGCCGCTTCACAGCCGCGGTACGCTAAGCACAGGGGAGAGGAGCTGACCTCCTCGCGGACGTAGCGGGGCAGCGCGATAGAGGCGAGGTTGCAGACGGCCGTCTCGTCGGGCGCGCAGTACTCCACGATCTCGCTGCACAGGTTGCTGCACTTGATCGTGCCCAGGTGCTGCTGGTTGCTCTTGCGGTTGCACGAGTCCTGCGCGCCACCACGCCGACCAAGCACAGCCCACATGGATCAATAAAATCGATTAGCGCTTAGAATAGGAGATGGGAGGGAATCAGCACAAGAATCAGCGCAAGGACATCATTTAGCAACATTTGGAGGCTGGGGGTTTATGGAGGTGGTTGAGCTGGCACGGATACCTTGAAGAGCATGTACGGGTTGCCGGTCTCGATCTGGGCCTCCAGGATCGCGAACCACAGCTTCTGCGCGGGCAGCACGCGTCGGGCTCGGCCCTGCATGTGGAAGCACACGAAAAATGCCACCATCAGACGCCGAAAAGCTAGAGAGATAGAGAAGAAAAAAAACACCTGAATGCATATTCAAAGCCAGCAATTTGGAATCAGCAAGCAGAACTAGAGGTCTAGGATTAGCGGCGTACCTCGGTCTCATACTTGGTGTAGAGCTCCACGAACTTATCTCCCCAGCAGTCGGCGAGCCCGGGAGCCTCGTTGGGGCAGAAGAGCGACCAGGGGCCGTTCTCCTGCACGCGCTGCATGAACAGGTCCGGCACCCACAGCCCGTAAAACAGGTCGCGCGCTCGGTTCTCCTCCTGCACACACACTCACATCAAAACGCATCAGGCGCGTGTCCGGATCAGGAAATCCTTTACGTGCTACATGCAAGCGCAAGCAGAGCCGACTTGTTGAGGTGGAGGTTGAGGTTGGCGCGTGGAGCATACCTTGCCGTGGTTCTTGCGCAGATCGAGCCATTCGAACACGTCCGCGTGCCACGGCTCCAGGTAGATGGCGAAGGCGCCCTTGCGCTTGCCGCCGCCCTGGTCCACGTATCTCGCCGTGTTGTTGAACACGCGCAGCATCGGCACGATCCCGTTGGACGTCCCGTTCGTCCCGCGGATGTAGCTGTTGGAAGCGCGGATGCAGTGTATCGCCAGGCCGACGCCGCCCGCGGACTTGCTGATAACGGCGCACTCCTTAAGCGTGTCGTAGATGCCCTCGATAGAGTCGTCCTTCATGCACACGAGGAAGCAGCTGCTGAGTTGCGGGCGAGGAGTCGCCGCGTTGAAGAGGGTGGGCGACGCGTGCGTGAACCAGCGCTGCGACATGAGGTGGTACGTGTCTATGGCGGCCTCGATGTCGCGCTCGTGGATGCCCACGGCCACTCGCATCAGCATGTGCTGCGGCCTCTCCACAACCCTGCGAACAGGAAAACGAAATGCTATCAGGAACCGCTGGTACGTTGCACCAATTCAAGTGATAAAGGAGCAATGGCACGGAGAATACACTGAGAAGGGGCTCCCACTGGAGGAGATGAGGAGGCCTCACCTGCCGTTGACACGAAGGAGATAGGATCGCTCCAGCGTCTTGAAGCCGAAATAGTCATACTCGAAGTCACGGTCGTAGATAATCTCGCTGTCGAGGACCTCCGCATTCTGCGAGTCAGAATCATAAATTGAAAGGAAACAATGTCAGGAGGCGACAAATCAAACATCAACGTCTGGAATACGAGCGTATCTTAGCTGACTGAGCCATCTCATATTACGCCTTTATCGTGCATCTGCTTTAGAACAAGCAGCGACTGGAAACGGATGCCATGCATACCTCCATAATGATGTTGTAAGCTATTTCGCTGACCAGAGGAGATTCCTGGCCGGTTTCCTTGTTCACGTGGAAGTACATTTCCTTGATCCTGAGAAACAAGCCAGAACGGAGAGGAGTGATGGTTAGCAAACGGAGTTTCTGGTCGAGCTGAAGCGGTGGAGGAGCTCATTATTAGCATTAAAATGCCGGGGAGCTCACGTTTCAGAGAAGGACTTCTTCGTGTTCTTGTGAAGGTTCGACACGGCGATCCTGGCGGCGAGCTGGAATCACACGGAACAGAGGCACGAAAATCAGAAACGGCACATGGAAGTCGTAAGTTGGAGTTCTGGTCAGCGACTGAAGCCAAATGCTGGATGCGAAGGACAGGGGAGCTCAAGTGCGACTCATATTACGGCGTTGAGGGACTGCAGTACTGACAATGGCGTAGTCGGGGTGAGTTGACGTCATGGCAGCCGCAGTCTCAGCGGCCAGCTCGTCGAGCTGCGAGGTAGTGACGCCCTTGTACACGCCCATGCAGACCTTTTGAGCCACCACAACCGGATCGCAGAAGTCCGGGTTGAGCCCATAGCTCAGTTTCTTCAGCCTCGCGGTGATCTTGTCGAAGTGCACCGCCTCCTTGCGGCCGTCACGCTTGATGACGAACATGGCTATTGATGCCGCTGATGGTCCGTGGATTGATCAGGTCGAATGGCTTGTCGAATCGGACAGCTAAATTCCGAACACTGGTGGTTAGGTAGTACCTATCCTGACACAATGAAGGTTCTAGGGAAGCGTAACGAGGAAGCTAGGAATCACCTGGTCGACAGGTGAAGAGAAATGATCGAGAGCTGATCCAATTAGTTGAACTAACAGCCGCTGGAGTCTGCCTTTTTATCAGCTAGGCTGACCAGCCTGAGCAGCCTGTCTGAGCAGGCAGAGCAGCCAGAGCCAGAGCAGGCAAACCAGCGAGTCGCGTGTAGATCTGGAGGGGGTCACTGAGCTCAGGGGAAGGAGAATTTTGTCTTGGGTTTTGGGGGTGAGGTTGGGTGTGGTGGCAGGTTTGGTGGCTGGTTCGGCGCCAGGTATGCACGAGACAGATGCGACGCGGTTTGAGCTGCGAGGCATACAAAACACGAGAATTCAAATTTCCTTTTGTGGGTTTGGGTGAATTTAGGCTGGGAACCCGGGGGCGTCTCGGATTCAACTTCGGAGTTTCGAATTTCAGGAATCGAAAAGCGCAGCCAAGCCAGGGAATAAGGGACCCGAACCAGACATTCAAACGATTTCCATACCTCTCTTCTGAGAGGCTCGGGCCCAGGCCAGACTAAACAACCACTCATGTGCTTCTAGCTTCAGCTTGACGATTCCATGAGAAACTCGGGGTTTTGAATCCCCAAACTCGAAGTGCTGGTGCTTATTCAGTGGCCGTCCCATTTCGCACGCATTTCGTTCTTGTTCCAAGTTACACAAAACAAATCATGAAAAAATGTCATAAGATTTCAAGAGAGTGCCTCAAGTGTTGGGGGAGATTAGGACAAAGACTAAGGTGCTGGTACATATAATGTTGCTTCCATTGCCAGCAGCATAAAGAAATGTTTCCCTGATCCACGCATATCTATGTACGTATGGAAGGTACGGGGGTGTTGTGTAGAAGTAATATGCCTCTATATCACATTGTCGATGAGGTGTGGGTATGGATGCATGCAAATATCCATAACGAGGTTGTACCTGAATAACTCTTACAATGACACATATGACACGTATGTGACAATGACACGTATGTGGACATGAGGCATTCAAATGCACAACTAGAGATTAGCAATTTACCACCACAAGGGGTCCACAGCTTCGAGCAATTCAAAGTTCCAAAACAATCCAATTGAGAAAGTTTGCTTTCTTGTCCTTTGCAATACGCATCATTATCATTTCAACTGGCTTAGGTACAAAACGTGGTGTTAAATTATATATTTGATATATATATATATATATATATATATATATATATATATATATATATATATATATATATATAATGATAGGCTTGGTAGGTGTTACTGGATCCTACTGTAGAGGGTACAACCCCCCCCCTTCTTGTATCCCTCTCTCTTATTTTCAAAGACTCTCTTCTCTCTCGATATTTTTCCTAGCCTAAAACCTCATGCCATTCCATGGCTCCTCTTCCTACCTAGCTATTCTAACATGGTATCGGAGCAGGTTGCTCTTCCTGGGCCTGCTTATCACGCTTCCGCTGCGCACCTCTCTCTCTCTCTCTCTCTCTCTCTCTCTCTCTCTCTCTCTCTCTCTCTCTCTCTCTCTCTCTCTCTCTCTCTCTCTCTCTCTCTCTCTCTCTCTCTCTCTCCCTCTCTCGCGCGCGCGCTGCCATGGCGGCTGCGTCGTGCTGCTGTGGCGGCGTCGTCGTACCTCTGGCTGCGTCGTGCTGCCGCGGCCGTCTCGACGCGCTGCCGTGGCGTCGCGCTGTCGTGGCGTCGATGTCTAGCCGTGGCGGCGTCGTCGGCGTCAAGCCATGGCGGCGTGACGGCGCCGTCGTGGTGCCGTGTCGACGTGCTGCCAGCGTGCGTACGGCATGGACGGCAATAGCCAGCGCCCCGTCTTAGCGCTGGCCAGCACGCCCGCATGCAGCCAGCGCGCCACACGGGGCGGCACGCTCCCGGGCTCCGTTGCTGAAGCCCTGCCCCCTTCCCCTGCGTCCCCTCTTCCTCGCCGCAGCCGACGGCTGACTCGCGCCGGCCGTCCTACCGCCGCGGAGCCCGGCCACGCCGCCGAGTGCTGCGACCTCCGCCGCCGACGGCAACTGTCATCGAAGCCGCCGCCGCCGCAGCTGGTGCCGCCGCACGCCGCCGCCGCCGCCGCTGTCGACACTGCCGCCGTTGTCGACGCTGCCGCCGTTGCAGCCGCTGCCCTCGCTGTCGACGTCGCCGCCTCATGCGTCGAGGGGCTGACCTTGCTGAAGTAGCCGCCGCTGCTGCTGAGTATGGGGGTGCTAGGCTTAGGGGATGTGTGGCTTAGTGTGCTGTGTGTGTGGTGGGCTTTCAGCTACCAAGCCTAGGGGGTGTGTTAAATTATATATTTGAGATGTATATAATGGTAGGCTTGGTAGGTGTTACTGGATCCTACTGTAGAAGGTACAACCCCCCTTCTTGTATCCCTTTCTCTTCTTTTCAAAGACTCTCTTCTCTCTCGATATTTTTCCTAGCCTAAAACCTCATGCCATTCCATGGCTCCTCTTCCTAGCTAGCTGGCTTTTAGCTTATAAGAATCTAAACATACATGCATTATGACCCTAGTTGTGCACTCCCATTTAAGTGGCCGGCTGACAATTGAAGATGCACAGTTGTCGAAGGGGGGTGGATGGGAAAGTTGACTAAGCCGTTTAAAAAATACAAGACATGGGTGGAGGGAATGAGCTCCAACCCACGTATTTGTAGTTGGAGAAGGGCGAGTAGCGCGCTTAGACGATGCCCAAAAGCTTCAGTACAATCAGCTGACAATACACAGTTTTGAAAAACACTGCATGTGATTAAAATTTATAATATTGAGAAAGCTTGATTTCTTCTCCTTTGCAATAGGCATTGTTCTCTGCTGCTGTAACAGAGACAGCAGCACGTTGACCTGCGCAAGGGTCAATGAGGGGGTCAAGGTCGGGGTGGGCGGCGCTTCCGACGAGGCAGCCGCGTGCCCCCTTTTGCACTAGCGAGAAGGACCCGCCACTTGCGGCGATGGCGCGTGCTGCGGCTCAGCGTCAGGCGCGAGTGGTTGGCCTTGCTCAGCCACTTGCGCGCGCGGCTCGGAAGGGAGCGAGGGCACTTCAGCACGCTGATTTTTGGCCTCGCCCCCTCCCAGCAGAACGTCTACCCTAGTTAGGGCAGACGCCCCTTCTTCTGCCCGACGCTTGTTCCGTCGGTCGCCCGCAATTTCCGGGACTTGGCGAGTAGACTCGGAATTGGGGTGGCCGGTTGCGACGTTGGACTCGCCATGATTATGCGTAGTCAGAGCCATGGTCGATTGGTTTCAACTTAAAAATATCGGAAAGAAGAGTTGAGGGACACCTGCCGCGAGGCAAAGTTCTAGTTTTAGCCAGCTTGAACGGGAGAAAAGCTAGGGCAGGAAAAGTTGACTGAGCCGTTTCAGAAATGAGAGACGTGGGTGGAGGGAATGAGCTCCAACCCCCGTATTTGTAGTTGGAGAAGGGGGAGTAGAGTGCTTCGACGATGCCAAAAAGCTTCAGTACAATCCGTTTCGCTTTCACAATACACAATTTTGAAAAAACACTGCATGCGTTTAAAAACTTTAGTGTGTTGCGCGAGGAACATGCCATCAGAATTCAAGACAAAAATGCCTGAGAGCTTGTATATCAAGGTGTTTTTTAGGGCATACCCTATTTTTTCAGGTTAGGATTTTCATAACCTATTCTCATTGTTTAAGGCCTTAAAACTAGTATGTTATTGTTTTAGTGAGCCTGACGAATCAGCCTTAGTCGAAGTTCGCCCTGAAATAGAATCCTTTATGCAAGGGCGAGCTGGAGCAGGTGTGAGGGGCGTGACTCGTCCTTGACCAGAATCACGCAAATACAGTCGTCCGAGGCGAGCTGGAGCAAGTGTGAGGGGACTGACATGTCCACCACCAAAATGACGTCAGCTGGAGCAGGCGTGAGGAGAGTGACTGGGCCTTAGCCAAAAGCACTAGAACCAACCATAGAAAGCGGCAAATTGCAACGTGAATTTCGCTAAACGGGAAACCCACGGCGAACGTTCGCCGCATCAGCGAAAGCACAAACAACGTTTCGCGCAATTTGCGAGATGACACTTGTGCTTGCATTCGGCAAATTACAAGGTGCTGGTTTGGGTTGAAACTTCATATGCGAGTGACACGCACGCACGTGGCATGGCATCGCTTGCGACTTTCGCGATGCTGGGCACGTGCGCCCAAGTCTGACGCGAGGATTGAAATTCTGAGCAGCGGTTTAGCTAAATGACAAGTCTGACGCAAGGTTTAGTCTGACGCGAGTGTCGAGTGACAAGCTGGGGTTACCCTTGAGAATATCCTCAGGGAAGGGCCACAGGTGCAGAGCCTGGGGGACGATGGGCGCACTGACCCGCTATTAGCAAGCCCTTTTAACTCACTGCTTAGTGGCTGAGTTTCTGATATGCTATCAAAGTGTTGGTGACTCGGGTTCAATTCCCAGTGCTAGCGATGGAGAGGCGCTCGTGTCTTCCATCTATCCCAGCGAGGGGGGTATCAAGTGACCCGCTCGGGTTAACCTTGAGAAGATCCTCGGGGAAGGGCTACAAGTGCAGGGCCTGGGGGGCTATGGGCGCACTGACCCGCTATTAACAAGCCCTTTTAACTCAGTGGTTAGTGGTTGAGTTTCTGATAGTGAGGACGCAGGAATCCGCTCGGAGTCTTTCGCTAAAACCATGCAGGTTAGTGAGACACATATTGTACGCAGTGAAGTCCGATCCGAAACAATGATTAGATACTCAAAAAGTGTAGGCCTGATTATTCAGGCCTTTTTTTTTCCCCCTTTTTTTTTCCTGACAAAACATGTCTCCCCCAAAACCCGAACCTGAAAAACAGGGTTCTCACATGGGCGACGCTGAGCAAACAGCCTCCATAAAACCAATCTGAGGCCCTGGCGAGGAAGGTATTATCGTAATCCCCTGCATAGTGCACCCCCCAAAATTGAACGCTCCGTTGGATGTTATCCCAGATTCCCCACTTAGAACACCCGGCAAATCGATTTTTGAATTTTTCATAACACCCTCCACCTTTTTCAATTCGACAGGATAGAAACATAAGCATTCGGATCACCCAACATTGCACACGAATCCTAGCGCAA